TTCGGTCTCCTAATCAGTCGCCGTGCGCTGTGCGGGTTCGAATCCCGTCGCAAGAGAAATTTTTCTCTTGGCTATGGATGTTGTGATTGTTCATAGGTAGTAGACGGTCTCTGACTGTCGAACGCAGAGGTACCACCCGGCGGATCTCGTAGGCGGGGCCAGAATGTGTGAATGTTGCATGTACATGTGGTCCCGCGCCAGAGTCCGTGTGGCGTCGCCCCTTTCCCCTGTATCCCCCTATAGCCCCACAGTACCCCATGGGTGTTTCGGCCTTAGGCCTTCGTGGTAGTTGGAGCATCAAAAAATACTGGATGGATTTTGGCGATTTTTTGTGGAATGCGTTTAAAATCCTGTATACTAAAAAAAAAAAATAGTTTTGATCGCATTTGATTTTACATACTTTATAATTTTGTTAACAACCAATTTTTTTGTATACGGTTATTCAGGTTTATAATTTGACATCTGATACACTTCATCAAACTGAACAAAAAATGTCGTATTATGTATTTAAGGCTTCGTTACTGAGTGTGTTCAAGTTAATTTCTTCTAATACATTTTTATACTCTTAAATTAGAGTGAGATGAAGGTACATCCAAAAATAACAAAAATAGTACCTATAAACATGAGTCCTATTTTCCGTTGTTAAGATACAGGGAGTAATTATTACGACCAGTGGCGGATCTCGAGGGGGCTGTCGGTTAGTGTCGCCCAAAGGTCATAAGAAAATGAATATGCAGAAAATTCTCTCATATTTTTTTATAATCACAAACTTAAGCATATCTTCATTCCATACCTGCATTTTTCGAACTTGTGAAGTTTTCAATCTAAGATTTTGAAGTGATGAAATCGTCACATTAGTACTATTTTTTAACTTAGAAGCGGTTGTTGAAGCTTTCAGGTAGTTGAGGCTTTCAAGATAGCGGTTAGACGCTATTTTGAAACATTTTTTAAACCCAATGTAGGGTAGTGTGATACCTCATGTTAACGCTCCTAACATAGAATAGCTATTTTCCAAAATGGCGAGCTGGCAAACTGTAGAAGATGAGCGTTTTTGTGCATTAAGTCTCTTGTAACTCAATAAACAATCATCGAAATGTGTGTCTATCGTATTATGTAATAAATTAACGAATATTCCAAAAACATGTCATTTTCATAATCTGAATGTTCTATATTTTATTGCACATCCAGGTAGGGTCCAAAATAACAAAAGTGAGATAGCATACTATACCGTTTTGATGATTATTTGTCGAGTTATAGGCGATTTAATAAACAAAAACGTTCAACTTTTTCAGCTTGCCAGTCCGTCATTGTCCAATAGGGATGCAGGAAAGTAAACGTCAATTTGACATAGACGCCATCTTTGTTTTCTGTCACCGACATGTCATTTTGTTAGTTGAATGTTTACCATTGATCGCTATGGAGTCGTATTCGATTGAAGACCGCATTAAAGTTATTCAAGAGCACTACAAAAATGGTGCAAAAATAAAAAACACGTTTCGCGCGCTTCGTGAACATTTCGGTCGCAACAACCGCCCAAACGAAACAACCATCGGTCGTCTGGTGCGTAAATTCGAGGCAACAGGTTCTGTGGCAAATCTGCCAGGCTCTGACCGGCCAAGGAGCGTTCGCACACCGGAAAATATTGCTGTTGTGAAGGAGAGTGTGAGATAGGATTCGAAACAATCAACAACGCGTCGATCCCAAGAATTGGGCATTTAGAGAACCTGTTTGTTCCGCATTCTCCACAAGGATTTGAATGTACACGCCTACAAGATCCAATTGACGCAAGAGCTGCGTCGGGCCGACCATTTTTCGCGCCGAACGTTCTCAGATTGGCTCCTTGAACACCGCCAAATTGATGCCAATTTTTCATCAAAAATCATGTTCAGCGGCGAAGCGCATTTCACTTTGAATGGGACGGAAACAAGCAAAACTGCCGCATCTGGGCGAACGAAAATACCCGTGAGTATCGAGAGCAGCCGATGTATCCTCAAAAAGTGAATGTGTGGTGTGCATTGTGGTCAAAAGGCATCATCGGACCTTACTTTTTCGAAAATGCGGTCGGGGACGCCGTTGCCGTCAATTCTGAGCGATATCACGTGACGATAGAGGACTATTTTTTGCCGCAACTTGAAGGAATGGATATGGACGATGTTTACTTCCAACAAGACGGTGCAACATGCCACACAAACAACGTCAATATCCATCGATTGCTGTCCTTCTTCGGTGATCGCGTGATTTCGCGCAAAGGAAATGTGCCATGGCCACCAAGATCGTGCGATTTGACTCCCTTGGACTTTTTTTTATGGGGATATTTGAAAAGCAAAGTCTACGTCAACAAACCAGCCACCCTCCAAGAACTCAAAAACAACATCATTGCCGAGATAAATGCCATAGAACCGACCATGTTGCAAAATGTCATTGAAAATTTCGAGCATCGCGTGGACGTCTGTAAATCCAGTCGTGGTGAACATTTGAGCGATATTATTTTTCATACATAAATGGTATAAATGAACCTTCAAAATAAAGTACCCAACTTAATTTGAATATCAATCTTTCTTGTTTTAATCTGCGTTTACTTTCCTGCGTCCGTTTTGGACAACCCCATAAAAGATAGTATTTTATATACCATGGTTATTATTTATGTTAAAATATAGTACTCATGTGTCAATTTGATCAACTCGAATTTCAGCTTGATAACTTGACCCATTAAAAAAATAAGTTGGGAGACCTTTCTGAAAAACACTGTATAAATAATTTCAATTTCTTCTGTAGTGAAAATTTCTCAATTTCTGCGCCACTGCTGTAGTCTCTGGAATAAAATTTATTATATGTATCTGCTACACTGTCAAATACTACATGTGTGAAATTTTAATTCAATATCTTGATCTTGATACAACCCGAAAATATATCTTTTCTCGATTTGTAACTAACACCCACTATTTCGGTAAGGAGGCATGTGTATATGAACTTTTTATATTTTTGTATTTACTTTATGCTCTAGAGAAATTGCCACTCGCTCTTCTATTTTTGTTTTGCTCAATTATGTATCAATTGCTAAAATTGTTATAATGGAGAGGGTCCAATTTTGTGAATATAATGTTATATTTTACATTTTGACCAGACTTTTAACAATACAATCGATATCGTTCCGGGCTCCGATGTTTTGGTACTTTTATGTGTTACAGCGCTCCAATATGTGTAATAAAATGCTAAGCTCCTTAAGAGCTACCTACTGTGATTTTTTTTCGCCCCCAGTGGCTAAATCTGCTCAGTCCAGGAGTAACATTGAGCTTGTTCAGCCAACGTAAAGCAGTCCAGCGGTATGAATATAAAACCCAATAGATCCGAATAGATTAGGAGTCTATGGCCCGTATCGTCAGTCGTCTCTACAATTGTAGGGCGCGTTTATGGCCTCCTTGATTGTCATAGTTTTCTACTTCTCCGTGTCAGAGCTCTATTTTGAGGTTATGTCACAAACATCTACTTGCATAAAATTGTGCTTGCTTTTGAGTTATATCATGTTTTATCAGCCTGAAATTTCCTACAATTTAAAACGAAAACATATCTTAACAATAGGAGAGTGCTGGCGCTGACACGGGACGAGTGTAATCTAGAAATGTTTGAAGGAGAGAAAAGAGTATGACAATCAAGGAGGCCATAAACGCACCCTACAATTTGTAGGGACGACTGACGATACGGGCCTATATGTCTGCATTGCATTGTTTCTCGCCAAAGTCGCGTAGTTTTAGTCCATACTTTTAGCTCATTTGTCTACCAATGCCTACCAAAGTGACAGCGTCAAAATAATACTTACCTGCGGAAACATCTACGTTCATTAGGCTTGTGCCGCTCATTACAAATTATATGTAAGTATCATGACACAAGTATTTACAATAAAATAACACTAAAAAATAGGAAGTTAATGACATAACTGTAAAAATAACTTATGTCCAGTGCACATTGATCCTCACTACAGACTATGAGAATTAACTTAGGAGACAAAAAAAATCATTGACTAGCTCCTTCTACCTACTCTGAATTCGTTAATAACATCTGGCACCGAAGTGAAAACTGCTGTCAAACTGACAAAGCTATCCCCTGCCTACTACTATTTAGCACTGACATCGAGCAGAAATAACGTTAGCGCCAAGACGGGTCCTTGTAGATCACAGGTATTGATTGAAAAGATACGAGGTCTGTAAATTAGCTGATGAGACTGATTTTTTTAATTTTTTTATTCATATTGGCACCTTCAAAATGACAACTTCTGAAGCTACATAGAGCTGGAGACGGTTCTTCCTCCCCTCATAAGAGTAGCAGTACAGGAACTCCGATACTGGAATAGGCTTCAGCTGGTTGGTTACAGCCGTTTGAATGGTTTCGACTGCCGCAAAAGCAGTCCCCTTGAGGTGATTTTTCAACTTCGGGAAGAGAAAAAAGTTTCAAGGACTAAGTCAAGCGAATAAGGAGGGTGAGGAGCCACAGGAATGTTTTTATTGTCCAAAAACTTGTTTCGTGGTTCTTCTTCAAACGACTCTCTCACATCTGAAAATGCGTCAAACCACCGAAACACCTTGGCTATCGACCGAACACTGTCTCGGTAGGTCTGGATAGCAAGAGTTTCTGCTGCACTGTACCCAAGTTTGAAGCAAATCCTGATAGCACACCGTTGCTTGAAATTGATGTCACTCATTTTTAGAACACAATAGAAAAAACCGTTTCACAAAAAAAATATCTACGACAACCCGAGCGAGTTCAAACTTGTACTGAAGGCGGATCACATGTTCTCCTGTATCCCCTTCAAGCCCGGCGCCTCCAGTGTTGCCAGATCGAACAGTACGTTGCTAGTCTCATCACTTCATTTACAGACCTCGTACGTAGATATTATACATACGTAGATATTATACATTGAATAGTGGAGAGCAAATGCATTAAGGAAAAATGTAACGACATCAGTTTTCCTTTCATATGCTAAAATTTCTTGTTTTTTTTTTCAGGGTTCACGAAGACGGCCGGTTCGAGCGGTGCTTCATGTTAGTGGGGATGGATTGCGGGTAGTTGAAGAGGATACTAAGGGTCTCATTGTCGATCAAACTATCGAAAAAGTCTCGTTTTGTGCTCCGGACAGGTATGTTAAAATTCTACTAACTTACATAAATGATAATCTTATCCATTCAACCTTGATAACGTTTTTTTAGCCGTATTTTATAATAGCATTTTGTTCGCTAGATTTTTCGATCACAGGTTAACTGTAACTTACCTGCTAAACAAAAGTTATTTCTCAATGTAAAGTTCACCCTAAAACGCTAGTTAACTTTGACTAGAGGACGATCTATAGACTAACCACAAACTTATTTTACCCGACAGTGACACGAGTTGTCACGGCCGACACGAGAAACAAAAGCGATCTTCGTGTCCCCAACTACTTACCACATTTCCCGCTTATGTTCATTAGTGTCCGGAGGATTTCTTCTTTCTATCCAACGAACGTAGGGAGTAGTAAAACAAGTGACAGGGCAGCCCGGCTTACACCGCACAACTACCTGCAAAACCGATAATGCGTTATCGCCAGTGGCGTGTTGGTTTTAAAATTAATTGAGGTACCATTTAATTTATTTTCACCGTTTCTTCTATCTTTTCATTACTTTCAAGGTGCTATAGGGTTTTTTACATTGATATATTAAATGTGCTGCTCCAGTTAACTTTACATATTTTTTATATCACAAATATAAATTTAATACATGGGAAAAAATAGAGAAAAGGGCTCAAAAATTAAATTCTTTTTTACATTGTATTCTGGATCTTTTTAATATAATACCTAATAATGAATATACCTGTATTCATTACCACGTTTATTTCGACGACTCTATCCGGATAGACTTTAAAGTGGATTATCCCAATCATGTGTAATCCTGACCGTTTATTTCGGCAATCCACAAGTCAAACCAAAGCTGATAACCTCAAAATCTTGGACAGAGGGCTCCTTCGAAATTAGCGGTCAGGATTAACACAGGATTGGGATAACCTACTTTGAAGTCTATCCGGATAGAGCCGTAGAAATAAACATGGTAATTATATAAGTATGTTTAGGGATATAGGTCCTTCGTCATTATCCAGCAAATATACAAATTACATTTATTAACTGATCGACATTAGTATCAGTATAATCTGAAGATTCTGAATCGTTTCCTAAGTTAATAATCACTGGTTCAACCACTCTATCCATACATTGGTCAGTTGTCCACATTTTTTCTTCCTCCTTCTCAACATGTTCGATTGCTTTTACAATGGTAAGGAGGAGGGCGTAAAATAGCCATTTCGTCGATGACATACTTGTCAGCACTTTTATTGCCCTTGACCAGATTTAAAAGTTCTGCTTAGACCATGTCGTTGTCAAAGGGAAGATTATGCCTTCGTAGCCATTCCTGGAGTTTCCCCTTTTCTGTTTCCTCTATTTGGTGCTTTTTCAATACGCCTACTACGGTATAAATCATTGTCCATAACAATGCGTTCTCTTCTAGACGGCTTATAATATTTTTAAACCATTCTTCAAATAAATTGGCATTCTTATCGGCGTGGTAGTGTCCTCATTGTTTTGATTAAAATCCCAATAGTCCGTCTTCCACGAAGCCATTATCAGATCCGATGTGTAACATTATTAGCCATTTTCCCTTACCTGAAGGATTTTTTAATTCCGTTGAGAGACCTTCCAGGAAGGCTTGCCGACGATGCTCAACTGATGAATCCACCCATACTTTGCTAACAGTGTGCCCTGCATTGAGCCAAGTCTCTTATAGGTAGCATATTTTCCTGCCTTCTTCTCTATACTTCCAGATTTCCGTAAGTATCTACGTCTTTAACATATTATCTCGTCCTTTTCTTTCAATATGCTATTTCGCTTCCTTCCTACAAAACAAAAAATTACATTAATTCTTTAAATTCGTTAATTCAGTGAACCATATTATACGAATAACGAATTTCAGGTGATTCATCTTAACAAAATTGCAAATCTAGTTTAGTCATAAAGTATAGATCAAGAATGATAAAAAACATAAAAAACTCTAAACTATTTTTGTGTGTGAACATTTTACGAATTTTTTTAGTTTTCTATTTTACTTTCAAGGAAAAATAAAAAACAAAATAAGTTTTTTATGCAACACTTACCGAAAATTAAGTTCCTTCATCAATGTAGCCAACGTCGATCTTTTGAAGTCTGGCAAGTCGTCGTCGTTTATTGATAACAAAATTTTGTCCAATGTGGGTGGTTAGTTTCAGAAGAAAAATTCGTGGATTTTTCTTCGGATGAATGCCTTAGTTTCTTGTGAAACGTTGTCCAAAACTACTCTGGCTCTATGGTAATCTTTGGGAGGACAAAGACTGTTGCTTCTTTTGTGCTCTGCTAAAATTTTATATAAACTGCTCTTGATACTCATGAAAACAAATTAATACATTTTGCATATATTATATATACATGCATTAATAAATAATAAAAATAATTGAAAATAAGTCTTAAAAATCAAAATGTGTGCAAGTAGCTATCATATTAGTGGGTAAGATATTTAACAGAAAATATCTATTATTTAGAATTATATTACATCAAACTACAAAACATTTTTAAAGCTGAATCCTCACTTGATGCTCTTGAAACAAAGGCTACACGTTCTGTCTGAGTTTCATTTGAATAGCGCTGCCAAGAACCTATACAAATATTTATAATAGTTCCTTTTCAGAAACCGACAAAGGTCTTTTTGTCCGTTTTCTTGGTGATCGGCCCTCGTCTAATAAGGCACTCATGTCGAAATATGTTGTCTCACAAAAATGAATGCAGCACACAACAAAAAATTCAACCGCACGTCACAACCTTCGGAAAGAATTAAAGTCTATTGTGAACTTGGCGGCTTATCTACCGAAAACGGACCAATAGGAACGAGGCGCGTGCCGGATTTATTACTCCGTAGGTGGTTGGATAAATTATTAATTATGTATTTCCCCAAATGCATTTAGGCCAGATAATTCATTTGTATTGATAAAACTGTTTTGTGGACACGTGTCAAAATATTTCACGGATAACCCCTAAATGTCAGAGCAACAGGGATCCCATCAAATGCGTAGAACTCAAGTTGGCGTTGATAGAACCTGATTTTTGACAGAGTGTCGCCTCTGGTAGTACTCTGTGTCTATAGATAGTAGGTTAAACTGCGTAAGGGATACACGTATTTTTATGAAGCCAATCCGGTCGCCGAGGATGGATGACGCTCGGAAATTAGTGTGCATGGCGTAGAGCAAAAAATTTCAACATAACCTGCAGCAGTCTCACTCACTTTTTGCCAATATTAGCCCATATTTCTGCTTGCAAGATATCAGAACTGTCAAAAGTGGATTTGTTTACAATCATGATGTCAGCAACTGAGAGAGATGATGCATGCGCGCATTTTCTGCGCAGTGTACACACGAGAGAGATGCCCTAAGGGCAGTACATGAAATTCGTTTACTTAGCAGTGTGCCTTTGTCATTTTTGGCTTCACCCCCATTCCATGAGTTTCACCTCCTATCTCTAGTCTTCATGACGGAGTGTTACGAAACTCACAAAACACGATTTGCTTAGATGTAGAAGCAGCGTTGCCGCATTAGTATTGGTTAACCAAAACATTACAAGCAACTGATAATTAACTTCCAAGTTGTAGTAACCTAACTAGAAAGTTAACCTGCGATTGAAAAACCGAGTTATTAGGTCTGTATATTAATCAAACAAAAAAATGAATGCGTGTCGGTTGTCTCATACAAAAAGATGGAATCAAAAGAAGACGCTTGAGGAATTTGGGCCACATATACAAGGTGATTCAGAAAATAGCAAGTAAAATAGAAAATAACACGAAAAGGTTGAATAAACATGCGTTCTAAAATGCGCCCTTTCCAAGATACAGGGTGTCATTTTTTTGTTGGTTGATCCATTTTTTTTGTTTCTAGAAATCATGAACGAGGATTCAGTTACATCTGTAGGGACGGTACGACGAGACGATGGATGTGCCATGGTTTTTTGGCGCTTAGAGAAAGCGGAGAGAGGTTATCTCACGCTGTTGGCTGTGCATTTGCTGTTTGCTTAGAAAGGTAAGTGTATTTTCCTCTGATTCAATGATACCATTACTGAAATTGTCCTGTTTACCGTACTGTCATTTCATAAAATACAACTCGGTCGACAGCAAAGGTTGGTGTCAAATGCGAAACTCGTACTACCTACCACCTAAGTACGTAGGGCATGGCACGAGTTTTGAGACATGAACAAGCTATTTGTTTTTTTTTTTCAAAATAGCTTCCGTCGCATTGAACACATTTCATCATATGCGGGAACCAATCAACAACCCAGCTCTTCCATCGGCCATTCGGATGGGAGAGCTGGGTTGTAGCTGTGACTTCGCGGAATCTTGAAAAAATCGATTGGCACCAAGTCAGACCCATAAAGTTATCCAAGCGGTATGCACAGGCGCGATGACGATGTGAAGATACCACGAGCCTCGATCTAGGTCTTGAATTTGTCAGTGCTGCAAATAGTTTTGGCATACTATTCTAAGTACAAGTTAGCTGCGACTATCATCTATTGACGAAGAACAATGTTTGCCACTAAATCAGATTTTCTGGAAAAAAGACACGACCATTCTTTTGCTAATCGATCGCGGCTTTTTGGCTTGAATCGGCTGATCTTTCGAAAACCCCGACTGGCCGGGGTATTACGAAATTTAAATAGTGACATTATGTCGCTTTTATTGACATTATGCAGGTTTTTCCTATAGGATGAACTTGGAACTCGCTCTTGTTCACTTTCGTCGAAAAAGACCGCTCCGCATCCACGGTGGTAACTGGACAGTATTTGAATCAGGGTGCTGTTCTATCTTTTATTGTCTCTGGCAAAACGTCATCAGTACCATTAATAAAACTCTCATTTTGACATAAAGATTCAAAGCCTGGGTTATTGTTTAAAATGCTGAGTTCATTTGCAAGATTTTTTTAATCAATTGAATAGACTCAGTCTACGTCAAACGCGTTGAAATATGCAACAACCAGCGAAAATAGGCTTAATATGCAAATGCATATGTTAATATGCAAATGCATATAATCCGGTCTGTGGTTATCAAGATTAATTCGTGAATTTAGATCAATTAAAATTAGATCATTTTAGCAGACCCTTCATAATCAAATTATTTTGGACCATATTAAAATTTGTCGAGTGCTTTTAACAATGCCAATCGCTTTCTATCCTGAAAGACTCATCTTCCCTTTTGCTGTCTCCCTTCCTTTTTTCCTACCAGATTTAACAGACATACGAGCTGATACAACACAAGAGTTAAGGTCTGTGGTTAAGGTCCTATGGACCGCTATCACAATCAAGAAGACTTGTCTGACTTGGCAGAGATTTCGAACAAAAACGTTACTAATTTTTGTCTAACATTCCAGGAAACAGAAACGAGACAAGGAATGTGGTGTGACGATGATGTTCGACATGAAGAATAGCACGTTCACGCGGACGGGCTCCTTCCGGCAGCCTAGTTTCACGGAAAGACTGGAACGAGGGGTGGATGTGGGCGGCCTGGAGGGCAACGGAGTGAGGACAGCGAATAAACCGCCCCCTGTCAACCCCTTCGCCATTGAACGACCGCACGCTACGCCTAGTATGTTGCAGAGGCAGGGTAGCTGCAGGGGGTGAGTAATTAAGAAATTGAGGGAAACATGGGGGACCAAATATTCTTATTTTGTTGGGGGGGGACAGCACATAAACCGCTTCCTTTTTTTACACAGAAGCAGCCGCGCAGGCAGAAGCCTAAATGCCTGGGCCCTGCGGCTGCTATGAGGAGCTTAAGGAAACTTTTTTAATCCGATTTTTGAACTGCCCAAGGTTAGTAGAACTGGGAAAAGCCTCCTCATGTAGATTGTTCCACATTCTCGACACCCTAGGGACAAAGGAGTGATCGTATCGGCCAGTTCTGGATGTAAGAAGCTCGACGCAGTTAGGATGGGAGGCCGAAGTGAGACGGACAAAGCCCATTGGTGTAGTGGTAGAAGAAAGCTAGGTCACCGACGGACCGTCGGTACGAAAGGGTCTTTATTCCCTGAACTTGTTTCTGATGTTGTTTATATTTTCCCTTCCTTCACCAAATTCTAAAATACTTATTTCCTATAGATACCCCCGTTTTTGAAGATACTAGGCGTATCGTGTGGCCCTTTAATGGCGGAAGGGATCTTCCAATCCAATACACGGTATTGCTGATCACAGCACTCTATATGCAGGAATTCAGAGTGACAAGACGATCTCTGCCGATGAGCTGGAAACAAAAAAGAAGACTAGCAGAGACTTCCTCTCTGACGAGAGACCTGGAGGTTATTACTACTTAGGGACGCAACAATCTTGTGCAATTTAATGCTTCCAAAACACAGTACTGTACATTGTTGAACAAAAAGCGTCCAGATCACCCAAGACTTGATCTGGCACGAACACATCTTGTCAGTAGCGGCAGCTGTAGAGAAAAAGTTAGGCTTTTTGTTTAGGGTTAAAAAGTACTTTTCTCCACATGACCTCCTCACTCTGTACAAGGCTGAGATAAGATGACTCTTCTCTAACGGACAGTCATGGGACCCTTTCGCACCGGCGGGCCGTCTGAGATTTAGCTCTCTTCTACACCAACGGGCTTTGCTCTTCAAAGCTCTCCTCCATGATGCAGCCGCGTGATGTGCCTGCCAGACAGACCCGCCTGACTCGACCTCCTATCCTAACCGTATCGAACTTCGTACATCCAGAACTGGCCGATACGACCGCTGCGTTGTCCCTATGGAGTCGAGATTGTGGAACAATCCTCATAGTAGCTGCGGCTTCTTTCTGCCTGCGCGGCTGCTTAGGTGTAAAAAAATATGTTGGTCACTATATTTTGCCAAGCTTTATTTAATTTTTACGACATTGGATCTATGGATCAAAATGCTCCAAACAATTCAAGCTACATGGTGGGAGATGGGTATAGAGCGTAGCAAAATTCATCGTATACCACTGCTAACGTAGCATGTCTTTGAATAAGGCGTTAACCGCGCGCGTCTTTTCTGATTCAAAGGCATTCCGCGTTAGCAGTGGCGTACGATGTGTGATGATACTCTCCAGCGTTTTGGTACCCAAGTGTAGTCAGAAACTGTTTGGAAAAAATATACCAATATCATTCGTATGACAGAGCCAAAAAACAATCGTGATTCATCGTCATGTGTTTTTCGTGATTTTTTCAAGCGTAGTTTGAAAGTATGAAATGCGAGAATTATAACTCTTTTCTTTCATATAACTGAGCGCAACTTAAAAGTCAGAGAAGCGATGGAAATTATAGGAAAATGATGTGGTCAGTATAGTTTGGGAAACTTGTAGCGTATTTTTTCCAAAGAGTGAAATGCCTTTATAATATGAACGGTCTTGTATGACGTGGTAAATTCGTTTTATTACAAAAATGTCACAGTAACCAAAAGCAATTATTGACTCACCCAGAATTTTGAAATACCGAAACTTTCAAGGAGAACATCTACAAATGTTATGGGTTAATATTCACAGAATGAAAATGCTGCAAAGTGTGGGGTGGTCAGATAAATTCTCCGTAGATTAACTATTCCTAATACGTGTATCAAATTTAACGCCTGCTGTTTTCTGATTTTGCATGTGAGACAACATGAGACAACTCCACTCAATTATTTCGTATTCCATTTTTTTAAAGAGTGATATGTGGTTTGAAAAGTCAGAGAAATTGTGGGTTTTTTATGTATGGGTTTTTAATGTGTGTTCCAGTGGGCATCTATCATATACATTTGAAAATATATCACCACTCATTCAATTCGAATGTTTACATAACACCTGAAAATCATCCATTGATTTTCATCTGAACATTTTGAGAAATAGTTCGTTTTGCTATCTTGGAGGAGATAGGGAGAAAATGAGGAATGATGAAATTTTTCTGACAAAAAAATCAGTACTCAAGCTATAACAGTTGCGGAAGTACGTGTTGTTAAAGTCGGGTTTCTTTTTTGATAGATTGTCCAATATATCAGAAGGTTCAAAATAATTTTTATTATATCAAATTCGTTTGAAAATGTGTATCCCAAGCTGCAATAAAATGTAGCGCTTCCTATTCTAAAAAAATCATGTTTAGGTCACCACGTCGTTATGAATCATCCGGTACAGATAAGAATATAAGAATATTTTTCTATTTTTCTAGTCAGAAGCGCACTATTGCTTACAATTGTCGTATTCAAGCTTTTTAGATATTATGCGTAATAACCGAATTATCGACAAAGCCCACACTAAAAACTCTCCGTGAAGGTAGTTTCGTTTGGCCCGAAAATAATCGAGTTCTATTTTAATGTTTACATCAAATTACTTGGATCTTTACTGGCATTACATTGATACTTTTGTTTGAGCCTTTAGCATTTTCATATATGGAGCTAATGTATTTCTGTAAACAGGGTGTCCCAGAAGTCGACGTCAAGCCGGAAACGGGGGATAGACCAAGTAATAATAGTTATCAGAAGAATATAAAAAAATATGTGTCGTGTACTTTTCAAATTATAGGCTTTAAAACAAAATCCGAAAAATCGAGAAAATGTGTTGATCGTTTAGTTCCCATTATTACAAATTTTTTTCTTAGGCGGAGTGACGGACAGTATTATTCTAAGTAGTTACAGCAAGACAGATAGTAACGCCACTTTTATTAATCCTTGAATTTATTTACTAACTCCACAATAAATACGTTATTAAGAAATTCAGCTGCTTCCGTAATTCTGTCACGAAGCTCAGCTAAATTTTTAAATGGCAACAAAAACAAAATGTCACTTTTTATGAAATTTCTTACCGTGAAAAAATTAGTACTTTTTCCCCGGATATTGTATATCCGCGATTTAGCTCAGTCAATAATGTTTGTGACGCTACTTTGGCTACTTCTACTAATTCCGGTGGAGTCAAAGAAATCATTTTTTACTTTATAGTATTAAAAATAACTTCTTAACAACCACTAAGTTCACAATGTTTAAATCAAATAATAAAAAATTAAATGGACAGCTATTTGATTAAAAGTTTTCTTAGTAACGCAGGTCTAATTGTCGCTATAAGTACAATATAGCCTACTAATTTCAAAATTCAAATTTCACATCGATAATAAGTTTCTGACTTAAATATTGTAATAATATAATTTTTCAATATCAACTCGTCGTTTTTCTCGTCACAGAAATAAATTGTGTATTACGAGTATATACGGGAAAAATACTAGATTTTAGCTTAACTTCCCTTTTGGTCACTGCGCTAGGCGATCCATAATGCAGCTTTTATACCCTCTTGACAGATGAATATGATGATAGACGACCATCGTCTTTACTCATTTTGTGGAAATAGTTTTATAAATCTGATACAGACTGTTGACATTGTAGGTAATAAGGTAAACCCAAGTCGCACGCTCATGATAACCACGTTATCATACTGACAATGACAAGCATAATTTTGGAAGATTCATTCGTTTACGAGAGAATTTTCAAAGCGGCGAGGGAAAAATAAAAAATGTATGTCTTTGAGTTTACACAACTCCCCGTATATGTAAGGCGGATGGATGTATGTCACTTAAAGCTGTAGTTTTACTGTGATTCGCCAAAAACTATAAAAATACTTATACTTGACCCCAGTCTTTATGTTTTTGACAGCTACTTGACAGCTGTCCCGATCCCCTTACGATTTATGTATGTTTACTTTTCAGTTTCAGCACCTTGGGCCAGAACAGCCCGTTCAAACGGCAGATGTCGCTGCGAGTAAACGAGCTACCCAGCAACGCCGCCCGCTTGAATAGTTACAAGTCTCCCACCAGTCCGCCGTCTATAGCGATGTCTCCGGCGTTGCCCATACCTTCAGGGGGTGTCAGGCCACCTCCCGTTTCCCCTATCCCAGAGTCCTCACCAGGAGATAGTGTCACCGCCCTCTGTCAGCAGCTCAGTCAAGGACTGAGTCAACTAACGCGGAGTGGTAGCGATGACTTTAATTTCAACAGTCAGAGCTCGGTCAACCAGAATATGGTCAATCTCAATGTTACAACGATAAATAACACGTTCAACACGTAAGTATATGAATTCATATGTCGTATATTTCAGAATGCTGCAAAGCATTTAGCATTTATTCGATAGTCTTGATCTGGCAAGAACTTTTCACATCAATTGCGGGAGCTGCTTGGAAAAAGCTAGGCTATTTGTTTAGAGCTAAGAAGTACTTTTCTCCGCATGCCCACCTCACTCGGTACTAGGCCCTTTCGCACCGAGGGCAGTCGGCGACTTAGCTGTCCTTTATCGCTATGTCAACGTACTTTGCTCTTCATAACTCTCCTCTATGATGTCGCTGCGCGATGAGCGCGCCAGACAGATCCGCCTGTCTTCTGCCTCTCATTCTAACTGTGTTTAATTTCGTACATCCAGAACTGGCCGGTACGACCCCTCCTTTGCCCTAGGGTATCGAGATTGTGGAATAATCTTCCTGAGCTCAAACATCGGATGTCTGTAAGCCGCTCATAGCAGCCGCGGTTACCTGGTATTCATACGCGGCTGCTTCTGTATAAAAATACAATTGTCCTACAGAAATACAGAGTTATTCCTATTTGAAAACTGTAATTGCGTGTCTATTTTTTCTTCTATATGCGGTGTATAATGTTGTCAGGAGAAAATTTATTATAAAACATTAGTACTAATTTTTCGCAAAAGCCAGTGACGTACAGATTTTACTTCCCAAGCCAATTGTCGAGGAAGTATTGTAATCGCGACAAATGTGGAAAATGAAACATTACATTTTTCAGATTTACATCACGAAAAATCATGTCATTAATTACCATTAGACTGTGTCTGTCTGTCGAGTAATCCGTGATCTTGATGCAAGTTTGTCACACGGTTGTCACTATGCCAGAGATAACAGATTTATAGGCGGAGCTACGAACAATATATATATATATATATATATATATACAGGGTGACAGGGTGACTTTGAAGTTGAGTCATTAATTTTCAGATAATGATTGTAGAAGGAAGATAAACCAAAATATGTGTGTAAAAATAAAAAAAAATTAGAAAAAATTGTTTACCTTGTTTTATAAAGTATCCTCCCGACAAGTATTTCAGTGCGGACCTGTATTTGATCGTGAGGTCTTGGAGCACCGGCATGCGCTCCCCTGTGAGGTCTTAAGTCACCTGATTCACGAGCCCGTTGTACTACATTAACAAAGGCACTCGATTGGGAAACCGATCCGCATAAATATGTGCCATTTTTTATTTCGTTTGAGCCACGCAGCAAACACCACTATTCACTCACGCGTTACCGACTGACACATTGACTGAATAAAAACATCGTGATCAGCGTTTCAAATTCTTTCGCTTTTTTGTTTCCGATGCGATGAACCGATAAGGCGGAGTATATCCGTTGTTGCCAAACACGAGCACATAATATTATTATTGAGACAGGGCGGTACTCAAACTTCTAAAGGGCTATAACTTTGTTACTTTAATTTTACCACAAAAATGTTAAAGGAAAAAAACATTTCTTTTGATCAGATCTACTCACTGTTAAAATAAATGACTCAACTTCGAAGTCACCCTGTATATATATATATAATAGAAAAATCGCATCAAACGGTTGTAGGTGTTTCAGAGACTCCTGCTCATTTTCAGAATATTCTTGGTCGAAACATAGACGTGCGACGGTGTATCATAAGTGAGCTTGTGAGTTCTTGAATAGGAACAACGCAACCTAAATCGCGTTATCCGGTTCACCTTCCCATAGACGTCCAGGACAAAAGGTTTAAACATGTTACATCTATGGTGTCAATTCACCTCGCATGTTCTTTTTTTTTCAATAGAGTACAATATAGATGAGTATTCTTAATACTTTTCATCTGGTCGTTTCATGGTGTATATAGAGATGACCGAAAAACAATGTTACCAGTTTCTTTTTTATCAAAAATGCTTTTTTGTGCATTTTTTCTTCAATCGTAATTTAACAAATAATAGTTCAGCTCTAGAATTGTGATTATTCCACTTTAATGGAAGAATTGAGTGGGCGATTCCTATTTTCATCACTTTCTCTCTTCAATAGATCTCTGATTTTCTTGAAAACTCAATTTGCTGCAAAATGAGGTTTCAAGGAAGTCAAAGATTTTTCGAAGCGAAAACCTTGATAAGAATAAACGTAATTACCTGATCAATTCTAGTATAAAAGTGGAACTTTAACGTACAACTTCAGAGGTGTACTGTTTGTTAACAAGTGACGATTGAAGAAAAAATGCTCAATAACATGCATTTTTTGCGAAAAATGATAACATTGGTTTTCAGTCATCTCTATACACGTCATGAATTACTTATACTATACTTTGCTCTACTATACTATAACTTCGAATACAAATTCAGCTATTAGAAGAAGCTTTGGGGGCTTTTTTATACTTCTGTTTAATTTTTTGCTCAGTAGTCTAAAGTTACTCGGTGCTGTAAAAATTACTGATACATTATTCACGTTAACATTTGTCAGCCTAACTACTGGTGTACTACAAAAGTGGCAGATTAAAATTATATTGTTTTATTGAACCTTACACTTTATGGCTCACACGCAACAGTGTGTGATGGTAACAACCTTACTACATTGTGTTGTCAACTAACGTCAGCAATTTTTTATGGAGGCCAAATATAACGATAATTATTTAGTTCCTTTAGCAAAAATGCCATTTAATTTAATGATAGATTTTGATGTCTCGCCGCTATGAGAATTTTTTGTTCTTGTTGTTTCAGTCTGAGATCCAATGAACCAAAATTATCATATCTTTCGTAATTCTATGCACATTTTAATAACCATAGTCCAACATTTTTCTACTAGTACTTTCATGTTTTAAACAACTTCTAGTGTAGTGGAATAACATCAAAAAGACGCAGGTTTTGTCAGAACCAGTAATGTATCTACCATTTGAGCTTTTTATAAAAAAAATTTCCTCAGATTGCAGCAATGAGCGTATTCGTACACGAGTGTTTCATTTCTTTGGCGCTCTGGTGTGAAACTACTTGTCAACAATGTTTGATTACTGATTACAATACCGCGCTGGTTGCCTGCTGCTCGTATCTCGTACCACAGATGCAATAGGTACGTGGAATTACCGGGGTTCGAAGAGTATTATAATACACTAACACCCATACCCCTATCTTTCACCACTGGATATTTTTCCAAAAATGATAAGGATACTCTGAAACGTCGAAAAACGAAGTTTGAGCGATTTTTAATCTATTTTTGTTTTTTGTTTGTGTGGCCACCGCCCCTCGACCGATTTCCAAAAACAAAAATAATCTTGTCCGAAAATTTAACAAAATTTGCGGATAGACAGTCGGACCAACGGACAGACAGACCGACGACGGAAATGAAAGACATAGTTTTTCGTGATGTATATGTCATATAATAAAAAAACATAATGTCGCATTTTCGAAATTTTTCGCGATTACAATGCCAATGTGACGTGGAAAGAAAAAAATGGACAATTGCCAATTTGTGTCCATATGGGCAACAACAGAAATTGATTGGTTCAAAATAGAATGTTTCTGGGATAGATCTCTCAATAGCCAGAATAAGGTTATTGTTGGAAATTTCTTGCTAGTGGTGTTGTATTTAGTAGTTTCTTAAAAAAATACCCTCAAACAAATCGCCTGTTATAACCGGTGGTTATAACATTTTGAATTTGGACCCAATAATATATTATAAACACTTGTTCTGGACTATTAATGCCGAAATGACAATCTTTTGAATATTCTAAATATGAAAGACATTTTAAAAGAGTTTTCCGAATATGTTCGGTTCGTTCACATTCGAAAAATTTTAATGTTTCTTTTATTCTCAAGGACTACACATGTAACGCCGGCTCCAGCTCATAGGATGACTCCAGTCACGCTTAGCTTCAGCCCTAATTCGATGGCTGACACCAGTATTACTTCCACGAGTAGCACCTTACCCAAACCGGAACAATGGTTAGAAATAGTAAACTCCACATCCCCAATACCTGGGAAAATGGACGGAACATCACCTAGAAGGTAAGAATGTTGTTCGTCAGTAATATGATGAAATATCTTCGCACTTGCCCTCGGGACACACGAGCGTTAGATTGACAAATAGTAATGCCACTTTTATTAATTTGTGAATGTATTAACACAATAAATGTTTAAACTGCCTTGCTTCAGCAGCAATGCAAGGTTGACATCTTCTTAAAAATGATCGGGTTATCAGACGGGCGAATATTATTATCAAATTCAGCTGCTTCCGTTATTCTGCCCCGTAGCTCAGCTATATCTTCGATTGGCTTGGAGTAAACTTTTCCTTTCACCGCTCCCCAGACCGTCTTATCAAAAAATTATTAATTTGTAGTAATGGAAACTAAAATATCAATGACAGGGTGTAGTTTTTTCCTATTTTTTCATATTTTTTACAGCCTATAATTTGAAAAGTACGCCACTTAGATTTTTTTATATTATTCTGATAACTATTATGACTTGGCCTATTCCCCGTTTCCGGTTTGACGTCACACACCCTCTATACACACAAGATAATCAAAATCAACTTCGTGTGAGGTGCGTCAAGGGTTTTAGGTGTGTCCATTCCTGTCTTGCGTTTTGAATGACACCGACATCATGCAACGAATTTGAATAGATTAGCAGCTATGCCTATATATTTCCATTGTTCGCCAAAATTCAGTAGTTTGAGAGCGTATTTTTGGCTAATTTGACTACCATTGCCTACCAATTAGTCTATAATCATATTAGACGAAAATACCCTTGGTTTGCAAAATAATTGTAAAGTCTGGTTTTATTGTTACAAGTTGTTCAAGGGGGTATTCAAAACATGGACGCACAAAATGGGTACACCAATTTTTGTAGGAAAACTTTTTATTCGACGATAAAGAATGAGAAAACGTGTTTTGTGGGATTCAATCGAAAGTGTTGCCACGTTCGAAAAAACTTCATATAAGATTTTTAGGTATTTATCAGACCTACATGTTTCTTGCAGATATTCGTATTTCTAAATAACCACAAAAAAACTGGAGTAGATTGGTCAAGTAGTTTTTGAGAATTTTTAATTGTTTATCCCATCCCATCCGGCCATCACTACTAAATTTATTGAGCAATATACAGGGTTAGTTCAAAGGGCATTTTATAGCAAAATACCTTGACGATATGAATCGCCAACCATTCCGGAAAATAAATGTTATTTTTATGCAAAAAAGGATGGGTTACGTTTTTTCTTCTAAACAAATTCAAACATTTCGTATTTGTGAGTAATTCGCAAAAAAATATGATAGACACATCCGATTTGTTTTGAAATGTGTATAGTAACTAACGTATGTTTTTCGAATATTGTAGCGCAGTTGATCAATTACTCACAAATACGAAATGTTTGAATTTGTTTAGTACAAAAAACTAACTAACTTTCGTTTTTCGCATAAAAATAACATTTATCTGTCTGAATGGTTTGTGATTCATATAGGCAAGGTAAACATGTGTATTTTGATATTAAATGATGTTTGAACGAACCCTGTATAGTGATCAATAAACTAGTAGTGATGGCCGGAAAACAGGTGTCTTGGGTTAAACAATCGGAAATTCTCAAGAAACTGCTTGACCATTATTCTCCAATTTTGTTGTTGTTATATAGAAGTATGAATCCTATGGATTTGAAGAATTTCAAGTAGCTGCGTGAAATTATCATCGCATTACCAACAAGTGCTGAAACCTGCATTTTGCATCGTTTTTTGGCCGTAAAATTCCTGCTATTGGTCGTATCTTTTTACGTGTGGTCTCATTTTGTAGGTTTCATAAATACCTAAAAATCTTATTCGAAGAGTTTTTTCGTTCCTTCCAACACACGTTTTCTCATTCTTTGTTGTCGAATAAAAAGTTTTTCCACAAAAATTGGTGTACCCATTTTATGTGTCCATGTTGTAAATACCCCCTTGAATAACTTGCACCAATAAAACCAGACTTTATTTCGGGGGAAATTATTTCGGGGAAATTTGCTAATATCATTAGACTAAATTCAATTCATACGCAAACATTCTTTTCTCTGGACAGGATATTAAAGTTGCTATACTTACTGCGTGTATTCACGTAGAGCAAGGAAGAAATATTTGTACTGTCTGTGTTGTGATGTGAATCGCTCAGCTATTATTAATAAACAGGGGTAAATTAAATAAGGCAAGGAGACGAAAGTAAATGGTTATCAACGTACAGGATATGCACTATTTTGCTTAATTCGTGATTTTGGAATATGAACAATGCGAAAAATTCTCTCCACCAGACAGCAACAATGGTGGAATACCTGATATTGGAAATAGCGTGCCATCTTGCATCAATTCTATACGGTAATTCTAAATAGTTGTCATGATCCGAGCAGATTTTTGACAAAAAGCAAATACCATTTGAGCATAATGTGTAAAATTACTGGCATGACATCACTGTCACTAGATTTAACCAATGAAAATATTTGGAAGTACAGTATATTCACTGAATCAAAGCAGTTACGTCACAACGTCAAATAATGACATTGACGCACAATTTTCAATCAATTAGCAATGTGGGAGTCGTTTCAAATATTGTTTCAACATTTTTGCGGCATTTTATATAACTGGTTGGACGCAAGTGCGTAATCGATCACCATAAATGAAGCAACTATTAACTGAAATTCTTATTGAATTCATCCTCCAACGTTTCACAGATTGAGCATTCTTTTGATTGATGCGTATAAATTGAAAGTTATGAGGCAATAAAAATACCGAATCAATTTAATTCGTTCTGACATAGGTTTTTATGGGTGATCGATTTGATTATCTACAGGCGCATCACTGTAATTTACCGGGACAATTCATAGTGCATCTTATGGAATTTATTCATATCATAGGGAAAAAAAACACTGTTTTTATTTGATGGAATTGGTGAATCGTGCAATTGAGATAAGCATCTTCTCCTGTCAACCGTTCTAAGAATATGTGATGAAAAACATTCATAACAGAAACGTCCAGATCACATTCACATAAAGGCTCACATATTACGAATATCAATTTTTAGGATATGCCGATACAAAATCAACGTGTCACGTGACAAGATAAAAAGGATATTCCTGTCACGTGTTGAGCAGATCCCAGCGGCCCTACCATTGTATTATTTTGCCGTATAATTATAATAACACGGGTAGCATCCTGAAGTCTGAATGTCTTTACTTATTCGACATATCTCGTCGCCGACGTCACCAGATGAGTTAATGATATCCCACAGATGTTATCAATTCATCGGTAAAAAAAGCGTCATATCATGACGAAATAAATAATAATAATATACGGAATCATACATCATGATTTTTTTTCGAATAGCCTTGATTACCCTAATCTGTATTAGTAACCAATTATTATCATTGCTTTTATTTCCTCAGATGTGCTGGAATCGCATTTTTTATTTTTATTTTTATTGAGTATAAAATTCAGTTCGCAATAAATATATTTCACTTTTCTTACTATTGAATTGAAGCCACTAATAGATAAAGGTATTGTGAAAATATAGGGCAGTTCTAGAAATGAGCTGTGCATGATTATTTTAGCGTCATCTACCATTTAGTTTGAGGAGGAGAAAATCAAATGTACTAACATTTGACGAATATACTCGTAAGTTAAATTAACATTTTTTGATACATCTACGTTCTACATTTTCTACTTTCTCGAATGGTTTTGCAGACTAAGGCTCTAGGAAAAATATTTTAGAGCTTAAAACTCATTAAGAAAAAAAATTAAGATCAAGATTCCAAACACATTTTCTGGCAATTAGGCAACACAGCATGGGTGTTTCTTCAGTTTTCTGCCCTCGGTTGGCCGTTCGCTCATAAATGACTCTGTTTCTGTTGTAATATCCCAGTAAATAAAATCACTTGCTATGCATGTTCTAAGAATAACCTCTGCTAATAACAATATCACGTTCTAAACCGTTCCATCAGTAGTATGTGTTAAGAATGTATTACAAACCCCTATTACTACTGTATCTTGTAAATACTTGTTTTACTTTTAATTATGTGTGCTATGTACCCCCTCTTCGGACAAGTCTTATGTCATTTTTATGATCTACAAGTCAAAAAAAGTATCTTTTTGTTAGGAGCAGATTAGGCGCTGCAGCTCGTCGTAAGAATATTTGCTGCATTCGGTGAATTGGCATAGTTTTATAGCATATCCAATTAAAATATGTTCTAAGAATTTGCTCCTCAAGATCTTCACACGTTCTAAGAAAATGCTCATCAGATAATTTGTCTATTGGATTCCGGGTGGACATATAGCATAATCATCCAAATGTCCGCCTATATCCCAGAATCTGGATAATACAATACTGATATTATGTATTTAACATACCTAACGGATATTCACTGAATGTTCGTAAAGTATTCAGTTATTCATCTTACAAACATCTAATAAAAATACATTTTGGGAAAATCTATTTATGGCATATAATACATGACATTTGAGGACACATTTCTAAAATATTGGCTATTATACAGGGTGTACCAATTTCCACCTACATATCAAAGCTGGGATTTTTCAAATTTAATGCCTCCAATTTTATTGCATATTTGGATAATCCAATTCAAAAGAAGAAAATAGATATTACATAGTATGGCATTTCGGTAATCAGCTACTGAGATATAAGGCGTTTTGTCTAGAAAAAACCCCCACTTCGGCAACCCCTCAGTCCTCCATTTTTAAATTTGCAGTACTGAATTTTGTATCAAAAAAATATACACACCTCTGCTTTTGTCTTATTTGTTACTTTTTCAAATTTTAATTTTTGCTCATACAAGGTGGTCAAAAATGCAAATTGTAGTTTTTCTTAAAAAATTCAAATGCTACTAGACACATAAGGGTTTTTACGGCTATTTTTTCGGTTATTAGCACGTCTTTTATGGAACGGCTTAATTCCCTAAAATATCGCATCATCCTTGGAAACAAATGAATTGTTGATTAGTAACAAACTATCAAGATTAGCTTTGTGAGCATTATAATAAAAACGTGTTTGAAAATGAATTTTTTTAGAGAAGAAATGTTGAATATGGTGTTCGTTTTGGGCGAAGCCCAAAGAAATAGTTTCCTAGCATCTCGCATTTATAAGCAACGGTACCCTAATATGCGACATCCAAGGCTGGAAAGATTTACCACACTACGAGAACGTTTTGAATCAAGTGGAGCAGTGGAATATAGTAAAAAATGTATAAATAATCCAAGTGTCACCAATGAGGCGAACCAATTGGAGGTTATATTAACGATGCAGGCAAATCCCCATTTAAGTGCACGGCAAATTGGAGCAGAAACTGATATATGCAGAAGTTCTGTCCAAAGGATTATTCACAAGCATAGGTACCATCCATATCACCTATGCTTGCATCAAGGCCTTCGTCCTCAGGATTTCGCAGCTCGAATAGAGTTTAGTAGAATAATACTAAATAAAGTGAGTGAAGGCACTACTTTCCTGGATAAGGTTCTTTTTAGCGACGAGGCAACTTTTAACAGCATAGGTGTTGTCAACAGGCATGACTTGCACTATTGTGCGACGGAAAACCCTTACTGGGTTAGGCAAATGGATTTCCAAAATAAATGGAGCTTAAATGTTTAGGGAGGAGTTATTGGCAGACAAGTTATCGGGCCTTTCTTTTTCGACAACAGATTAACAGGTACAGAATTCTTGAATTGTTTGATAGAGCATTTGCCTTTGCTTTTAGAGGATGTCAACCTGCAAACTCGGATGCATAATATATGTACTTCGAACATGACGGCACACCTACCCATCATAATCGTCTGCGTAACTATTTGGACACCTGGAGGAACAATCGTTGGATCGGTCGTGATGGGCCTATCTCTTGGCCTTGACCAGATATGACATCGATGGACTTCTTTCTATGGGGCTACGTTAAGCATGAGGTTTATAGATATCCACCATCTACCCCGGAAAATTTGAAAGAAAGGATCAAGGAGGCTTTTTTGCCAAGGTTATTTATTCAAAGACTACGGCTGTGTATTCAACATGGTGAAGATATTTTCGAGCAGTTTTTGTAGATTAGGTCTTGAGTAGTGTTAGTTGTTTGTTTATGTTGTTGTTATAGTTCTTTTTCTCTATTACGCTTGAAGCTGATTTATACTGTTCTGATTGTTGTTAGTTTTTACATGAAATCTGCAGTCTTAGTGGCAATATGGAACTAGCCCACTGTTTGTCTTTTGTTTCCATGGATGCTGTGATTTTTTTCCTTAGTTTTGGTGTGTTGTTCTATTAAAAGCTTAATAATTCAAAATCTAGAGATTTTATCAGAATCATACCTTATACCAAAAAAATAAAACTTATTGAATCTAAACTGGCACAAATATACAGTTTTCTGAGGAAAAGTACAATTTGATCACCCTGTATGAGCAAAAATGAAAATTCGAAAAAGTAACAAATAAGATAAAAGCTGAGGTGTGTAAGTGTTTTTTGATACAACATTCAGCACTCAAATTTCAAAATGGTGGAATGAGTGGTTGCCGAAGTAGACGGTTTTTCTGGACAAAACACCTTACAACTCAGTAGCTAATTACCAAATCCGCATAGTATGTTATATCAATCTTTTTCTTTTGAATTGCCATGAATAGATTTTCCCGAAATGTATTTGTTTATGAGTAATATTCCATCCACACATGGATGGGCCACCCTGTATATGTATTCGTGGAAAGTCAAGATCCGGTTCTATCGTAGTCTACAAGTCTATTCTTGTTTTTCTTGTTCTATTCAAATAATTCCCACGTATTTCCATCAGGAGCAGCTGCAGATGCCAATTTCTTCTCACTACAAATTAAACTTCCTATTAAGCGAGCTTTTTGGAGGTTATGATGTAAGCACCTTACTTAATTGACAGAATAATGTTCATTGCCATGATGGATTGAGGTGAATATAATTAAACTAGGTACTTTCGTCCATCCGACCAAAAAGACAGCCAACCATAGACAGCTGTTTCGCGATTCTTGGCTACTCACGGTTGGCTGCCTTTTGGTCGAACGGATGAAAGCATCATGTTTGGATGGCAAGTAGACCACAACTACTTTACAACGAGGATCGACAGCCATCTAGCGGTCACGTGGTGACTGGGCTGACATCCCTAACAGTTGCAACTAATAGCAACTATGCGCTTTCCGCAATGGTCCATTTTGGTATGATAGTTGGCGCTTTGCGCTATCTTAATTTGTGACAGGCTGAAAATTTACCTGATGGCACGTGTTTAACACATGTCAGGAATATCACTTTGTTTACCTGGTGGTATGTTTCTGTCAAGTGACAAGAAGATTTTGGACCGGCATGTCCTAAAAATGAATATTCTTAGCATGTAAATAAAAGGATACCACTTATGTGAATATGCTATGAACATTTCCGTTTTGAATGTTCTTTATTATTCTTCACACGTTCGTCAGGAGTATATGCTTTAAGGGATGTGAACTGTATCTGCTGAGAACGTGCTTTATTAGGACATCTGTTTTAGGATGTAAAACGTACATTCCAATAATATGAATATACCTTTTCATGCTTACTGGGATGTGGTTAAATAGTCTCATTCACGACAGGCTTTAATTTACTTCAAATTATTTTTCCAGAACACCTTCCTTCAAGTCACATTCGCGAGCAGTCTCCCTAGACACGGGCAGTGACAGCTTCCAACCGTCAACGAAGAACGATCCTTTTGACGCTGAATGGGCCGAAGTTGCTGCTCAACAAAACAAAAGTACCAACCCGTTTTTGGCGACACAAAATACTCCCAAAGCTTTTCAAGTACAGTTGTAGAAAGGAAGAATGGCAACAATGGAGGAATGATCAAAGGTTGGCTCCAGGTTTTGACCGATCTTAGGGAGCATCTTGCAGGCAGTGTCTGGCGTACGGTCAACCTAGAACTCCTAGGAGTAACTGATCACTACATGAAATGATCGATGGTTTTGGTCAGAAGGCAGAGTGATTGACGTACTTGTTCAAAATCCAATACGAAGGAGGTTTGTAATACAAGGCTTTGACAAAGTATCTGACTTCAAGGGATGATTCTGTGGGTAATTCTAAAATGAAGGTTTGCATACTGGCGCTTCTTAATGAGCCATATATTTAGTATGGAATGACTACATAAGCTAAACATGTTTCACGTTTCCTTATATCTAAATTGTCAAAAAAATTGTCAAGATATAGCCGATATTTAAACTCGGGCCACATGCCGCAATATGTTCATGATGGCTGGGTTGAAGTTGCCATAGTTATAGCCAAATATTACAAATAAAATACTCCTAGTTTGGAGGCTCTGTAGCCATTTTGATGAACTTTGTGCCATTTTCGCGTGCAAAGATGTAACACATGAAGAAAACTCAAACTTAATAAAGGAAAAAACTGATGGACTCAAATCCGGACTTGTTTTTTCTCATTTAATTTTATTTAGTTTTCGTAAACACGTCTTATACATGCTAAGAATTAACAAAATTTAATAAATCCGGCTATACGATTGCTACGATTTTTACGAATTAAAAAAAAAGTTTCACACCCTGTTTCGTGCAAACGAAGATTTATCCAACCTGTGTGTTACAACCACCCAATCAGATTTCCCTTGAAGTGCCAGGTACTTTACTAACACCTTGAAGATGTAAATCTTTTGTATCAAACTTGCTTGAGGAGAGAATTATGCATTTTAAAACTTCTTTTGAGCGATTTGATTGACTGTAGATCTCCTTATGTTTGCAAGAGTGGTTAAGCTTTTAGAAAAAACCCATATAGCATTTGTCTTTGATTTGTCTAGATGTTTTGCTGGCAAGATGTCTTTGAACAAATACTGTGGATAAAAATTCAAAATAGGAAATAACGGATTCAAAATTCTCTCAGAAACTGAAAAGACACAAATTTATTATGGGTTTGGTTCATTATTATACAGGGTGGCCCAAAAGTTCTGGATCAAATGAGATGGGGGTGATAGGGGGAAGGGTCATTTCCTTATCCCATTGCACGATTTTTGAGTTATCGCCGTTTCAAAGAATGTGTAGAAAATCGCTACTTTTGAGACTAATCTTTTTTTTTGAAATTATCGTTTGCTGTTTCTGAATCAACTTTACAGGATATGTGCCTAAATAATGTATCGTTTAAAATAAGCTATAACTAAAAAATCAGTCCAGTTATTGTAGGTACAGCAAGCCGCTTAAATGTAATTTTGTCTGGTGCCAAAAACATTACAGCATATGGACCAAAAAGTATCCGTAGTTATGAAAAACTTTCGGATATTGTGACCTTCCAAAATACGTTTTAGATAATCAAATATCCTAATTAGTACTTGGGAAAGACCATAAGTCTTCAAACATGAATGAACTCCAAATTTAAACAAGGGCTTTGACATAATTTTGGGTAATAAAAGGATTAGAGATACAGTGCCCTATTATTTGATCCTATAACTGTAGTTATCAAGTATTTTAATCCAAATAGGAGAGTCAGTAAATCCTCAAATGCAAATAGAGCTGATTAGTTTGTATCCTTAAAACTTGTTAACCTGGTTGAGCCTTGCATTGGTCAGCCCGATCATGCTATAACTACCTATATTGTTGTGTGGCTAGCTAAAGTAACAGTTCTGGTAGATGGTTTTGAATAAAATTTAAACAAGTTACTCCACACAATCTTTCTGGTAATTCATTTGAACTTACTATTCTAAGTTACTAGCCTTTAAGTTGACTCCAAATCGGTGGCATCTCCCCTTCTACTGATTCATGGATTCTTTAGAGCCCAGTGGTGTACATTGTAAATGTTATAAACGTCTGTTCTTCAAAAACTGCCTTCGCTTGTCCCTATCTTTATTTTATGAAAATGTAGAAGATTGGCAATGGCAGTCATAGGATTAAGATCAGAAAATAGGAATTTCAGAGATTAAAGGTACCTGTAGCATTTTGTATATCTTGCCCAGAACTACTTAGGATATTTGGTTACTTTAAAGGTATATTGGAAGGTTTTGTCTAATTATGGACTGCTTATCTGCACACTATTATTTTCTAACAGTTTTTTTGAATGTGCTGTAATATTTTTGACCCGATAAAATTACGTTTAACCGACTGCTATGCCTACATTGACTGGACTAATTTTTCGGCATCCTATCATGTAAAGCTAATTGAGAAATAACTGAAGATAATTTCAGAAATAAAGATCATGCTTCCAAATGTAGCGATTTTCAACGTAATCTTTAAAATGGGGATAACTCGAAAACGGTGCACAATTGAATAAGATCATATATGGATTTTCTGATTGGGAATGACCCTCCCATTACCGCTTTTCGTTTGATCCATGACAATGGGTACTATGTAACAAAACAATGAACATTGATATTACCAACTTATAGACATCTTTTTGAAATTCGTGCGGAATGAAACAGAAACTTAAGGACTAAGATTTCTTAAATCCACAATGGGATTGCTTTACCTATATAGTGGAATCGATTCAAGGGATATTACTTAGCTCTTTTCCGTTTGTACAGAAGCGTTATTGTTATCGGCAATTTTGTTGAAACTCGCAACTGGGACGTTGTTTCCCGAACACGTTTGTACATTCTTGCACTGTGTAAAATCATTGTAAATTTTTTGTTGTATGTGACTCTTCGATTTTTTATCGTCAACTACTTGAGTTATTCTTCTGCCAGGACTGTCTGTGCAATGTGTACATACATATACTGCAATTAGGGAGTGTATATCATGAATAAAAAATATAAGAACAATTTTTAAGGGCTCAGTAGTAATCTTTCCATACCTCATAGTGATAAAATGCATTATAAACCGAAAATCTCAATGAGCCTTGTTGGTTTGTTTTTTATTTTTTGTACTCTCATAAATGCACCATGAAAGAGCTCCAGAACATTTTTCTAATGACAGTCAATACAAACTCATAAACATGAACAAGCGTGTTAGTTCCTTAAAATATGCATTTAATGTATAATGGAGGAGATGTACAAGGTGTGCCCTTTGGTTCTGCCCAAAAAAATGTCACTGTTATTGATCTTCCAAAATGGCAAATAATTAATTGTCACAATTTTTTGTTCACCATTTCTTAGCATAGCTGTATTCCTTCACATACTTCTATTATATTTGATACTACATTTCGAGTATACAAAATGTAGAGAGACTGTGAAATCACAAAAATTGTAAAACACTGCAATCCCAGGATATGAAAGTTTTAAGGCATATCGAATGACACTTCTTGTATACTTTTCTTGAAATATGTACTTAAAGTATTTAAATATTTCCTTTAAAATATAGTCTCTATTTTATTATTCTATCAACACATGCCCTGAACGTCTTTGAAAATCTATGAAGAGAAACGCGTTATTTTGACAACAGAAGTAGAAATAGTGCGAAAAGCTATTTGAAATTGGTCACGGAATTACCGTGTAGTTTTTAGACTTTAAGTGACCTGTTGTGCTTCAACTTCTATTTTTGATAGTGTTATAGGACAATAAACTGTAATACATATCATTACATACACCAAGAAAACTTGTAACTTTGCACATGTGTGCTGGAAATGTTCATCAAAGGTTATTAGAATAGTACTCAAAAATTAGCTACAAGAAAGACGTGCTATTGGAATTTTAGCTTAGCTGGTAAAAACACTGGTTATAGGACTGTGAATGGTTCTCAGGATAATTCTCAAAGCATAGCTTGATGTTCTAAGCTTTACAATAGTATATAGAATTTCAGAAAAAACTATACATTAGGGTGTTTCAATACTCACTTGCCAATTATATAAAAAGCTAGCACAAATTATTCACTACAATGTTTACAATTTGGTAGTACTTAAATAGTATTAAGCGAGTGAGTCTCTTTGATAGTACCTACTGAATTCTACATCCAGAAAGATTTAAATGATGAGTTAATCGGGTGTGTGATCTTTATGAATTGAGGAGATTTTGAACGAGTTCTACTGCGAATAAAGATCTTTTGATGAAGTTAAACTATCACAACTTGATAAAAATATACATTTTTTCTCAGTAGCTTAATCTATCAAGAGACTCGCTATAGAGTTTATGAATAAGAAAATATGAAGGCTGACACCTGTTATAAAAAACAAGACATTTATTTGTGACTAGCCCAACTATAAATGATTTCATTGGTTTGATATGTTCATTCCATTTACCTTGAAAATAATTTGGGATTTTTTGTACCAAGAACTGTTCATCACGTTAATTAATGTATATTTGGTAGTTTCTAAAACGTACGTCTACACATTGGTCCAAATTTCTTCCACTGCATTTCAGGGTGTCCAAAGACCGGAGCCCTCGACAAAAAATTTATTATTTTTATGGAAAAAAATACTTTTGAAGCTTTTCTCTGATCATGTCACTGATATGAATGAAAATAATTCATTGTTATGTTGCTGCCAGTTGACAATTGGTAATTGTGTTATTAGGGATGTCGCAGAATTTCATTTCATACAATTACTCGTTTTTGAGCCCATTCATCGTGTGAAATTTGCATTGTTTTATTTTTTGTTTGTTCTGGGTTATTATGGGGTTTGAGATAGGAAAATCTTGGATCAATGTTTCTAGACGTATAACGTTTTACCATATTCAAATTTCCAAAAGTTATATAGTTTCAAGACTAAAAAATATGCATTTATAAACAAATGATGGACGCCTTATGGTGTATGAGATCCTGGAGTAAAATGTGTTTAAAAAAGGTGGCAAAAACTGTTTACAAGTCAAAAATTAACAAACCGTCCACCTTTTAGTATCAAACTTCTAACGAGTGGAACAAAGAAAAGCATTTTAAGATACTAATTTATTTCCATTTTATTTACAGTAGTAAAAAAAAATCAAAACGTAACTGTTTTTGATTTAACGTGTAGATAATTTGATGTCTGTTAATTTTTATATATAAGTGTAATATTTGGGGGAATAAAGGAAGCAACAAAATGAATAATAAATGAGACATGTATTATTAAGAATACTAGGTATTTTATATAACTGTTCCGCTATTTACTGTTGATATTTATTTTTTCTTTACGAGCACGCTGCTCACACTGGCACAATGTACTTAATATATATTTATGTATAGAAAAATGTGTATTATACAAGTCTTTATTACTTTTTTCTGTAATATAATGAGTATTATCTGTTGAAACCTTCTTAATTTGCCTAAAATTGTTCAGTATCTACCCTCATGAACCCTATTATGATTTAAATGCTGTTTGATTTTAGACTTTGTTCATAAAGAGTTTAAATGAAGTTGCCTATTGGCACTCTGTTGCAAATTTGTTTTTTTAGGAGGAAGGTAGGAAGGAAAATATGTATTGATAATGACAAAGCATATTGCTGCAGGATTAACTTGGCTTAGATAACTTGGACGTGAGCTATATAGCAGAAAAGGCACTTACGACGTTCAGTTTCCTACGTCAATATACTATGATATAATTCTTGAATGCTACACGTTACGAAAGATCACGACATATGTCCGTCGATCTGTCTAAGTTTACTAAAAGTACATATGAAGAATATTTTATGTTATGCGAGTTATGCGCTAAAAACAAAGAAAATCAGGTAAGTTGAAAATTCGTACTTTGACTTTTGTCTTGGTTTTTGATGGTTTTTAGGTATAGTCAAAAAGGTTTCTTAATTGGGTCCACGTTTTCGAAAATTCGCAAACTATATTTCCGATTTCCAATTCCTTTAGGGTGTAGTCAAAAAAATGAGAAAATCGGGCAATTTTGATACTTCAGTTATCACCAGAGACGCAAGTATTGTATAATACTGAGAGCAGCCCCATCCAACCCAACTTCACCAAATAATAGGCGAATTCACAAATTTTTAGGTGTACTATTACTGTAGAGTGACTATGGGCCCCCGAACCCATGCGTCCTAATCAACTTGAGCTCTATTACTGATATAGAATGCGTAGAGGATATGGCATAACCTCTTTGGTCAAGGGGTCAGGCCGAGTCATCGTAAAAGTCAGATTGACTTGATCGTTTGCAGGTTTTTTTGTAAATTTATTTTTCGGGTACTATTTCAATGGTTGTTTTTGTGTGCTATTGATTGACGTATTCCTGCTCGGATATTTTTTGCGTTGGCTGTTTTCAGGTAGAATAGGTTAATCACTGGTGCTATTCCAAATAATTAAGAGACATGTTCTGGTAACGAATTTCTGACTGTTGGACGCATAGAGTTAAGCGATGTTTTTTTGACAATTCGTTTCGTCAACCGAATTTGTCGGTGGCAAACCGTGTGGAAATCTTTGCTAGGTCATCCCAGCCAGTACGGTGTCGTGTAATCGACGTAGATATTTGGTGATTTTGGTCGAAGTTGAAATTTAGGGAAAATTCTACGTTTATTCGACGTCAGTTATGGACCAAATTTCGCTTAAATTTGTCTGATATAACCACACCACGTCGATAAAACGTGAATATTACGACGTGTGTACACCTCTATACCAATTTCCGCTGCCGCGAATAAAATCCGGTTATGTTGCAGTCACTTAACCGATTAATTAACGTAAATATATTAGTTTGTTATGATTTCCTCCTGTATTCTTATAACATAATCGATAAACGTCGATAAAACGTGGAAATCCGGTGCAGCACATCACTGGTCGTTGAGGGACGTTTTATCCACGTGAAACAGTGACCGCAAATACATCTGTACCTGCGTCGGTTATTTATACACGTGGAAAAGTCGTGGATGTGACGTGGCATTTTATCATAAATGTAAATTGTAATCTTCCAGATAGAGAACGTCCGCATGATGATGATAAGTGTTTGGGTGATGTAATTTATTTGTACATCCTGGTGCCATACATATAAAAGCGCATATCCAACCCAACATGCTTTGCGAGCTTTGTTATAAATACTTAATAATGCCATGTAAACAGATTATTAAGTGAAAATCATCGACTATCTTATTGAAATAATAAAATATGAAAGCGTGGTTGAGAATTAATTATAACATCGATGTTTCCTCATTTTATGACCAATAAATTTTAAATATCGTGCCTTGAAAGGGGAAGCGACAATGGCCAAGAGTGCCATAGCTGCATTGCCAGATTGCAGAATTTTCATCACAATCACCGGTATTAGCTCCCAAGATTTTTACATACTTACATACTTATATTTCAGATTTGGAAAGCTATATATTGTTTTCTTGTTATGATTACTTTTGTAATGATGCAGTTCTTTTTACGTCTCTATAATGCTTTTGGCTGAAGCTCACCTTGGTGTATCGTTCCGTCTTCCTTTGATCTATCCTTTTTTTCATAGCTATACTATTAAAAATTTCTTAGAGTTCATAAATAGTTGTTTTATGATTGAGTCTAGTACATTTCCTGTGGAATTTTATATAAAGTACATTAAGCTTCTTCAACTTGATAACATTTGGAGACATTGAACAAGCAGCATTATGTCTATGGTGTCTCGTGCCTTGATGAGTAGGTGATAGGCACCCGTATTTCGTAACATTAGGTGTAACATTATATCGATTTTTTTGTGACAGTACTTGTAGTAGGCGCGGCATGAACTAACGCCACACTAGCTCCTAAACCTAGTGCACAAGTTGACGTTTTAAAGATTTTTTGAAATTATAACAGGGTGTCTTCAAAGTTGGTACTTTCTTTTACAGAGCATATAGATCAATAATAAGCATGCTTGTATTGTTAGTTACATATTATATACGAAAGCGATAACCGAGATATTGGGTTCCAAAAAGCAATAAATGAGCCAGTATGACCTTACCACCCTCCCTTCCCACAATCTCCTCCTACGTCAAAAAGTATGATGTACTAAGGCTATGTGAGCCAGTATCCAAATCAGGTGTCTAGGTTAACCTAGTTTATAAACAAACCACATTTGAACAACCGAAATTGGCACATTTCTAGAGCAATAACGTAGTTATTAATTTGACATGAGGAACTTCTGGATTCCATTGATACTCCGTGAGTGTACTCACGTTGTCGTCGTCCTCGATGTTTATTTCCATCAGAGCTGCATACTTTTGTTTATATCGTGAAAAAGCCGTCTTGTTGAACACAGTTGAATACCTTGACAGACCAAATGCAAGTGCGGACTTAGAAGGGGGCGCTAGTCTGCAATTTTTTCTAAGAAAATGGTATATCTCAGTGTAAAATTAACTTGCTAGAACTCAATAGTAAGACGTGCGCTCCCCTAGGGATATGCCACCCTCCACTTTTCAATTTTGTTACAACTGCTGAGCATGCAGTCCACTCTTCAAAATTTATTTATATAAAACGCCGATACCCCCCTCCCTCCGAGATGAACATCTTCCTAAACATGCTGTACTCTCCACACTGCGCCTCCTAGACAGATTCCTGAATCCGCCATTGCCGAAATGTTTCAAATTAAGGAAAAGGTAAACTAACTCGTGTTTTGAAATCGAATTGCAACAAATTCAGTGTTTGCAAACAAAACATGTGACAGGGCAGTACTTGAAATTCCTTAAGAAATGAATAGTGCGTATTTTTCTTCTATTTCTTTTTTACGTTTTCGGTGTTGTTTTGCCGCAAATTAACTTTGGTGTTGCAAACATAGTTGACTCTGAAAAGGAAACTCAACTTTCAGGACACCCGCAGGGTTATTACGCAAAAACATATAAATGTCATTTAGGTTTTTCGGGCTGTTGAGCCGTGGTCGGGTTGAATTTGATCCAGAGCTTTCGGCTACATCTGCGATAGCCATTTCAGTGGCGCTGTCGGCGAGAGCGAAGTGCTCGGCTTGGCGAGTCGACTGAAACTGATCGGTCAACTGGATGGGCGTACGGTTTTATAGGCGATCGGCGGACTGAGGACTAAGCTGTCTGGTGGGGGTACTTTGGGTCCCTTGAGTGATGTGGTTTTTGCGCTGTGTTTTTTAGAATTGGGAACCACGTTTTGTTTAAAGCAAGGCCTTCTTTTTTTCTATTGAAATTATCAATGTTTTTGTAGATTTCAATTGCTTCTCTGTACATTCGGGCTGAGTAGTGGGTGGATGTTGATAGGACTTCAGTTTGGTCGAACAAAACATTGTGGCCGTCTTGGAGTGCGTGTTCGGCCACCGCTGAATTATCAGTTTGTCCCAGTCGACAGTTTCTTTCATGCCCCTTGATGCGTGTTTGGAGGCTACGTTTAGTGGTGCCTACGTATACTTTACAAAAGGAACACGGTATTATGTATACGCTGACACCGCTCAGGGGGTCATATCTACACAAGGACTCCAACCATCATCCTGGACAAAAAAGAGGTGTCATTAAAAGAAACAAGATGCGATGAAGAACTAAGATTTTATTAATTGCTGAAAGCTATTGATGCATGCGTAGGTTGAAATTTAAGCCAGGCCTGTATCGATGGGATGCAAATGTGCCATCCTGGGCTCCGACTCCTGACGCTTATTTCCATAGTCACAAGAGATTCTATTGGCACCTCTCGAGGTAGTATCTCAACTACGACAAATGAATTCAGACTAGGTAGAAGGAGCCAGCCAAGGATTTGTTTGAATCCTAACTCTCAGAGTCTGTAGTGAGGATCAAAGGTAGATATTTCCAGCGGTCTTACAACGCTGTCACTTTGGTAGGCAGCGGTAGTCAAATCTATAAAGGTACAGATACATATGCTCAAATCTAGCACAAAGGCATGCTATTAATGAACAATTGCTAGCATGTGTGTACAAACGTTACAAGAAATAAGCATGCTTGAAAATCGACCGTCGTGCCCTGCAGCGCGGGTGGAAGGGGGTTTGCTTTTAACGCGTGAATTATGCACTTTGGCTCACTCTATACAATATAATTATTATATTGCATCATCTTGTGTCATTCTATTACCGTTGTTAGAAAACTTAGAGTTATCTCATATATGCAACCTAATACGTCCTCCGTGCTTCTTAAGAATAAGCTTATGTGTGTATTCCTATTATAAGACTTTATAAAAACCGTTGTAACTTTTGTTTGGTCATCACATAGCTATCAACTATTCTAGTGGTAGTTAGATTCATCAGCGGGAAATAAAAGTTAGAGTAATTCGGTGGCGCGAAAGTTCATCACCACCGCACCGCTCGCCATCAAGGGTTTGTGAGGGATCCGCCACTTCTGCCAGCCAAGGGGAGATAATCCAACATAGACGAAAGAGAAGAGGAGACCAGGGCGAAGAAGTCCACTGGCACCCGCCTGGTCAAAAGAAATAACGCCGCTTGGGCCCGAGGCCAATAGCAGAATCGGAAGAACCAGGAGAAGGCAGATACTTTGGGCGCTTTCCACTATCGAAACGTCCAAAGGTCAACATCTGGCTTGGGAAAGCCAATCTATCGAGGACGCCACCCCACAGCTGAATGTTAGAGTTCAGGACGGACCAAGAATGAAGATTATTCTTATTTTCACTCTGTAAGTCCCTATATTTGCTCATTCGTTCTCTTGGGGTGTACAATTCATTTTAATATTAAATTCGTTATTGTTTTATAGATTTTGACTGATATATTAGTACTATTGCTATTATTGATATATATATATATATATATATATATAACTTGAGACGTGGTCATTGTCGTCATTGTCGTCTAGACCAGTTAGGTGAAAAATTAAAGCTTCCGCCTTTTGTTGGGTACTTCGACAAAATTTAAGCAAAGAGGACTCTTTATACTTTTTTTAATTCTCTATAGCTTTCAATGGACTTTGCCATCATCATCAGGAGCTGCAATTACAATGATAACAGTAGCAACAAAAGTGTAAAATGAATTTAAATTGAATCAACTTACAGTAGTATGAGAGGATGTTGTTAATTGTTGTTTTCGTATAGGATGAGGGAAACGTCCAGTAACATGGTGAGAGCTGGATACATGGTACAATGGTTAAAATTATATAAAATATGACAAGACAAGTTGAAGACAGATTAAAAATTATTTAGAAAACATTAGAGCATTACGTCGTGAAGCCACTTGATGATTGCACAAAATGGTGGTCATGGAATAATGAGTGAGATGAACCTTTGACAGAAGGCCGAAGGTTGTCAATGTCTGTGTTGAAAGATGGAACGAATTGTGGGCGTGTGCCAAAACGTTGCCAAATCACTTCAGATGATGTGATTTTCAGAATGTTATGAAAGAAATTGTTAAACCGACCAGAGGCAGTTGAATAAACTATATTTTAATTAATGGGAATTTTAAATTAACAGTTATTAATAAATCGTGAGAAGAGAATTATTAGATTTTGAGTGGAATGAAATTTGTTGGTGGAATCGGCCAAAACACAGATTATATTTATGGTTGTGAAAAGTCGAAATTTGGGGAGATATGTAAGTTCTCCAATTTTTCGCAGTTTAGTAAATATGAGTAAATGACACTCAGTTGTTTAATATCTGTCTTTTTGTTGATACAGTTGTTATTCATGAAAATGTGGGACATTTCCAGGAATAAACGTTTGGAAAGGTGTTTTTCTTTATCAAGAACTTTGATACTTGTGTAATTCATAGAATGCCCTGTTGTGTTAACATGAGGTGCTAGGCTTCATCCTGAAAGATGCGCTCTAGCATCTCATGTTAACACAACAGGGTATTCTATGAATTACACAAGTATCAAAGTTCTTGATAAAAATAAAATAAAAAAAAAACACCTTTCCAAACGTTTATTCCTGGAAATGTCCCACATTTTCATGAATAACAGCTGTATCAACAAAAAGACATATTAAACAACTGAGTGCCATTTACTCATATTTGCTAAACTGCGAAAAATTGGAGAACTTACATATCTCCCCAAATTTCGACTTTTCACAACTATAAATAATCTGTGTTTTGGCCGATTCCACCAACAAATTTCATTCCACTCAAAATCTAATAATTCTCTTCTCACGATTTATTAATAATTGTTAATTTAAAATTCCCATTAATTAAAATATAGTTTATTCAACTGCCTCTGGTCGGTTTAACAATTTCTTACATAACATTCTGAAAATCACATCATCTGAAGTGATTTGGCAACGTTTTGGCACACGCCCACAATTCGTTCCATCTTTCAACACAGACATTGACAACCTTCGGCCTTCTGTCAAAGGTTCATCTCACTCATTATTCCATGACCACCATTTTGTGCAATCATCAAGTGGCTTCACGACGTAATGCTCTAATGTTTTCTAAATAATTTTTAATCTGTCTTTAACTTGTCTTGTCATATTTTATATAATTTTAACCATCGTACCATGTATCCAGCTCTCACCATGTTACTGGACGTTTCCCTCATCCTATACGAAAACAACAATTAGCAACATCCTCACATACTACTGTAAGTTGATTCAATTTAAATTCATTTTACACTTTTGTTGCTACTGTTATCATTGTAATTGCAGCTCCTGATGATGATGGCAAAGTCCATTGAAAGCTAGAGAGAATTAAAAAAAGTATAAAGAGTCCTCTTTGCTTAAATTTTGTCGAAGTACCCAACAAAAGGCGGAAGCTTTAATTTTTCACCTATATATATATATATAATTTCTACATTTAAACTTTAATGTTGGGTGGTACAACCGGTACAGGTTACCACTCGGATTCTGATTCTGATACCGATTTGCTCATACACGAAATGGCGGAGGCCACAGGTACTGAAATAATGCTTGCTAGGGATATGGTCTCCGAGTATCACGGAGGATCCAAAGATCTGCTTGATTTTATTAATAAGGGAGATCAATTTATCGATTTGCTTAAAAAACCTGACGTTGCACGTGACTTAATTAATAATTCAAGCTACTCTACTTAGAGAGAATTGGAAGAAATTTTAGTTTCACGGTTTGGGGATAAACGTAACGAATCTTCTCTAGCACAGGAATTGGCACGAATGAACCAATTTCCTAAGGAAAATTATCAAACATATTTTGATAGAATTAATGGTCAGTTACAAAAAATTTTGCAGCATATGAGGCTACATGATACTTCACACGAATTTAGCGTGAAGGCAAAAATGTACCAGGATCAAGCCTTAAATAGGTTCATTATGTGATCAATTTCGTTCAATTTTTGGAACATGCGAGGTGTCTAGTTTACAAGATGCTTTATATAAATGCCAACATGCAGAAAATTTTAGATATGAGGGTTCAGTCACAAATTTATTGCGGAGCCAAAATGCTTCACACTCAGATAAATCCGAAATCAATCTACGCCCACAGTATCGTCCCCAGGTTTCTGCCAAAAATAATCAATATTCCAGTAATTCTCAGAATGGTATGAGAACACAGAATTACATTCCTTCCACGAGACCAAACTTCAATTCATTTAATACCCCTCGTTTTAATTCAAATGTTCAAAGCAGATTCTTACAGCAAAAAAAATTTCCTAGACCTAATTTTTCTCAAAATCCCGTTCAACTGTCTAGGCCCACCTTTCAGCCCAATCAGCAAAGATTACAAAGTGTTCCAACTCCTATGTCAGTAGATCGTTCATCGATACGCCCTAGTTTCCAGCATCGGTCTAACTATTTCCAAAATACAGGAAAACCGTCTTATATTGTTGAAGAACTTCACAATCAAGATGAATCTTCCACTAACTACGACAATTTTGAAACTTATAATGAGTATATCGAAAACGATTACGAACAAACATCTTGCGATGACCATTACAACCTACATCAAACTTTTGATCAACTAAACCTAGAAGAAAATTTTACTATCTCGGCCTCAAACAAGGAAAATCCATAGGTGACATAAATAATGTACATAATTTATCCACGTTGCCATATATAATTACCCAGCTTAGGAATTAGTATGTTAGTAGATAGCGGTGCGTCAACATGCGTTATTAATCTAGATATTGCGTATCAAAAATTTTCAGAATTTATATTTCATGAAAATTTACGTATTAAAGCTCTTACTATAACACAGTGTCCGAAGACTTTGATATTAGGAAATCTCTACATTTTCACATTGTTAATTGGCATTTCAAATTTGACTGCAAGCGAATTGACAAAATTAGGTGCAAAAATAGATTTTACAACAAATACTCTGCGAATAGGAAAAACTAAAATACCATTTACCGCTGAAACACATCCTAGTTTATTTGTTCCATTTAGTAAGCCACAGACAAATTATTTAGAAATTCCCGTATTAGTAGAAAACGGCCCTGTTGTGCTTCCTAACATAGAGTTAGATGGATATTTAATATCCAGTTGCATAGATACTTCTCGGAATTTCTTATTTAAAATCCCAGCACCTTTTGAAGAAACTTTAGATATCAATTTTCATGAACCAGTAGAATGCAAACCTTATCAAATGTACGAAATCAGAAAACCGAAAAAGGTTATCGAAAATGTAGACATTCCTTGAATGACTCGTACCCAACATTTAAATAGCGAAGAAAAAACGAGAATTTTAAATTTGTGTGAGCAATGCAAGGACATCTTTTATTATGAGGATACCGACCTCAGCTGCACAAATAATGTTAAACATACTATTCGAACAACATACTATGTTCCCGTTTACCAAAAAACTTATAGATATCCACATCATTTGAAAGTTGAAATTCAAAAACAGGATTCAGAAATTACTGGATAACAAAATTATTAGAACGTCTATTTCACCGTATGCGTCACCCTGTTGGATAGGTAAAAAGAAATTAGATGCTTCAGGTCAGAAGAAATAGAGACTTGTGATAGACTATCGTAAGTTAAATTATAAGACAATAGAGGATCAATACCCGCTACCACGGATAGAGGAAATCTTAGATAATTTAGGCAAATGCTCATATTTTACAACGTTAGATTTGGCTCAGGGGTTCCATCAAATTGAAATGGACCCCCAATCAATAGAAAAAAACTGCATTTTCAGTCGACCACGGACATTATGAATATGTAAGAATGCCGTTTGGTCTAAAAAACGCTCCATCTACCTTTCAAAGGGTGATGGATAATGTTCTTAAAGAATTATTGTATAAATGTTGTTGTGTCTATATGGATGACGTAATTTTTTCTAAATCACTTGAGGAACATTTACAGCACATAAAAATGGTATCCAAAAAATTAAGAGAACATAACCTTAAAAGTCAATTAGATAAGCCAGAATTTCTTTGTAAAGAAGTGGGATTTCTTGGTAACGTTATCACTCCCGAGGGGATTAAGCCAAACCCCGCCAAAGTTGATGGGATAGAAAAATTTCCTATTTTTACCACCAGTAAACAAATCAAAGGTTTTTTAGGACTTGTAGGATATTATAGGCGTTTTATTAAGGACTTTCCAAAAATAGCACAGCCACTAACTCAATGCTTGAAAAAGAATGCAAGGTATGCTATAATGAACAGCCGTTCATTGACGCCGTCAATAAATTTAGGGAACTGATTACAAATGCACCTATTACGTATCCCGATTTTTCAAAACCATTTACGCTGACGAGAGATGCTTCGAATGTTGCCATAGTTTCAGTACTAGCTCAAAACGATCACCCCATTGCATTTTTCAGTCGCAGTCTTAATACTGCAGATCGTAATTATTCAACTGTCGAGAAAGAGTTATTGAGTATCGTTGATTCCTGTAAACATTTTTGTCCATATCTATTTGGTAGGCCGTTTACGATTAGATGCGATCAAAAATCACTCGCTTGGTTTTTTAACCTAAAGGAGCCGTCAAGTCGCTTATATCGTTGGAAATTGAGAGTAGATGAACGTCAATACAAAGTAGGGGAAGGTGGACCGAAATGATCCCCCTAAGGTGGAAAGGCGAAAAAAAGCAACGTATACAAAAGAAAAAAATCTAGTATATTTTTTTGGAATGTCAGTCTACTGTGCTTAAATATGTCCTTATCGATTTTCTGATTTAACAGCTACTTAATTTTTTGGGAGATGTAATGCAGGTGTTTGTAAAAGGATCATAATTTTGAGCTACGTTTTTCTTGTGCCACTTTAGGGAGTGGATGAACATCACTGGGAAGAATGTTAAAACCACTTTTTGATGTCGAAGGTTCATCAACCAAAGCTAAGTAGGATTGCGGAACAATTATTGTTGGTAAAGTGTCATTTTGCTTGTTGTTTTCAATACTTTTTTCATTGACCTCATCATTTTCTTCATGGGCCCCATTATTTTCATCTATGACTTCTTCGATTTGTTCGTGGCCGTCACCATTTTCCTCGTGCACACCATCGTTCTGAGGTTCGTTTTGCTCGGTCACTTCAGCAACTACGAAATCAATGTCTGTGAAGACATCGGGATCGTACGGAAAAATTCCAGTCTTCATAAATCCGTTAATTGCGTTAAGTGGTGTGCTGGCCTGGATGTAAGATTCATTGAAGATTTTTGAAATTTGGAAAACGGTTACAATTCTTCCAGGGAGATTGGTAAGCCACTTCTCCAATGCTTTGTCGTGGTAATGATTAAGCGGGTACATAAAACTCACGTCTAGTGGTTGAAGGTTATGAGTGGTGTGTGGCGGTAAGCATAAAATGTTCACGAAATTATTTCGTGCCTTTTCAATTACACTTAAGTTTTTTGTGTGCGAAAGGTGGCCATCAAGAATGAGAAGTGCAGGATCTTCTTGGAAAGGCTTAACAAAGGCAAGAAAATGATCAAACCACACCGAAAATACCTCAAGTTTCATCCAACCAGATTCGTTGCAATAGAATGCTGTCCCTGGTGGTGCGACATCTTTTAACTCTTCTTTCATTCGCTTACGGGCAAAAATAATCATAGGAGGCACATATGAACCAGATGCACACATACAAATCACGGCAGTAGTGGACGTACCACGTTCTGTAGATACGACTCTGCCAACTTGTTTTCTACCTCTTTGAGCTAGAATTTTAAAATATTTACCTGGGACGGTACTCAAAGAGGTTTCATCGACATTATAGATCCTATGTGCTTGGAACTGTATTTTTTCATACACAGATGTTAACAACATGAAACATTTGGTTTCGACAGGCCGGTCAAAAGCACGAGCACGAGCGGCTGACGTTGACTCCGGTGATCTTAGTGAGATCTGAAGGGGCCTCTTGCGAAAACCGATCAACCAATCTTTGCCAGCTAGACATGTTACCTTGGAAAACGGATGAACAATATTATTTTTCTCTGCGAGCTGATAAGCGATCGATCTCACATCTTTAGTGGTGAGACCATACATTCTGCTTTCCATATTAAGTATATGAGCTACCAACTCCTCTTCCTGTTCCTTAAGTAAAAACCCCTGTTTTGCTTCCCAGTTTCTTAACATTATTAACAGCTAACTTGTTCGTTCCTTTACAGCGTCTCTTTAAACTCATTAACGGAACACAGAAATTCCTGGCCGCCGTTTTGTAAGCTAAGCCATCGCGGACCTCTTCTATTGCTTGTTGCATTTTGTCTTCGTCCCATAACTGCCTCTGAGTTTTTCTTTGATATTTTTGAACCATTTCCTTCTGCAACAAGAAAATAAAACAATAAAACGATTTAATATTCGATAAGCACATCCCCTTTACTATGGATAGGTAATAGCCCGATAATGATCTTATCCACTTCTATTTTGTTATTTCAAATGTTTGCAGTAAGAAAAATGAAAAGAATATATTTGAGCGGGCAAAATGATCCCGGATCATTTTACCCTACCCAGAGAGGGATCATTTTGCCCTTAAAGTATACATATTGCATAAGGTTATGGTAACTTAATGCCGGCTTTGTTTATATTTTCGTAAACTCGTGAAACAATACACACAATTATGTGTTTTCATAAAATGTTTTGCAATTTAATGTTCCTAACACTATAAAGCTACTACAATATCTTAATAGCACTTACCTTAGATCAAAGAGCACAAAAACCTGTTTTCACAGATATTTTTATTAAGACGTTGTTCCCACGTTCGCTTTCAGTGCTGAAGTAGGGCGACTCAAATGATCGTAGACACCCACTCGAATCAAAGAAGGCAGCATTGGCATTAAAAATAAATGGAGGAATCATTATGCCCGCATGGATCATTTTGGGCCACCTTCCCCTAGAATACATAAAAGTAGTAGCAGACGCTTTGTCTCGAGTCGAAATTAAGAATAAGAACGAAAATCCGGACAGAAACATCAATTATTTCAAAGCAAACCACAGAATCTGTACATCCATTTGTAAATTCAGAGAGTGAAGAAATCAATACAGATAAGCAAAGGCGGGAACCAACAGATTCAGATTTGTCAATTAATCCTGATTATGAGGATCCAATAAATCCGAGAATCCCTTGAACTATTTTAAGCATGAAGTAGAATTCAAAATTTTGCATCAGTATAAAGTAACAAGATATCTATTATTTAAAAACAAAATTCGGCTATATGTGACTTTATGTCCAGATTCCATTCATTCTCAATTGAGCAGGTTTTTCTTAGAATATTTAGATCCCAAAAATACATATGGTATTTATACACATAACAATGATCAGTTAGACAAAGACATAGCACAAGTATTTAGAACCCTGTTTGATACGTCCGTCAAAGCTGTATTCTGTACAAAACTTCTTAATGATATAGAGGGTGACGAAAGACAAAAGAAAATTATTCAAAATTATCATAACAAAGGTCATAATGGAATTTTAGACCGTCAAGCACTTGCAAGAAAAATATTATTGGTCACATATGAAAAATCAAATCTCAAATTTTATCAATAAATGTGAGTTATCTCTAGCTTCCAAATATGAAAGGCATCCTTACAAGTATTCACTAGAAGATCCTATGCTAGCTCAATATCCATTGGAAACCATTCATATTGATTGTTTTATTGTAAAAGGTAAATCGTTCTTGACAATAATTGATCTATTTCCAAAGTATGGCCAAGCATATGAAATCACTGACAAAAATGGCCCAACAATTTGTAAGGCATTACAGAAATATATAACACATCATGGAATTCCTAAACGAATAGTATGTGATCCAGGTACGGAATTTAATAATTACCTTTTTAAAGAATCTTGTTCGTTACATGAAATAAAGGTTCACTTTACTACAAGCACCAACTCGAACTCCAATAGTCCAGTCGAGAGGTTTCATTCTACTTTTATAGAGAAAATAATAACAACCTTATCTATCAAAGAACCGTAAACATCTCTTGATGAAATTATGCAGACTGCATTGATTTGTTACAACCAAAGTATCCATTCTGCAACAGACTTTTTCCCTCATCAGCTACTGCATAATCCATCTAAAAGATATTCATGAGTTAGAACTAAGTAAGACTGAAGAAGTATGAAGCATATATCCAGAAACGTATCAACGAACTTAAGGTCCTTTATCAGACTATTGCGGATAAAATGAAAGAAAAGGGTTCAAAAATTTTGGAAAAACGTAATGAAGGTTTGCAAGACCAATTACCCAGTATTGGAGAAGGTGATGAAATTTTTATCGAAACTGCAGGTAGAAACAAAATTCGTAAGAAATACATAAAATTAAAAGTCGATAAATCAAAGGGTAAAAAGGTAATAGGCCAATTTGTAGGAGCTAAGCAAAAACATATTATAAAAAGGCCACTGAAAAATGTGAAACGATTAAGAAAATATTATTTACAGGATCGAGATCCACAACCTGGCACTAGCGGTTAAAACGCATCGAATTGATCCTCATTATGGATATTTTAAGGAATCACTAGGTCCAGCGAGGGTAATAAGCCATTGCCATTCGATATATTATTACCATAATCTAACGCACACACGTTACAAAATTACCACTTAGCTATAGATAGCTATAAGAAAATTTCCACCCAAATAAAAAATGATATGTCTTTACTTTTAGATTTGGGATACACTATAAGCTCTATTGAAGAACAATTACAAAAATTCACCTCAACACGTAGGCGATCTAAACGTGGCTTGGTCAATGGTCTTGGCACAGTTATTAGATATATATCGGGAAATTTACTACTATAGAAAATAATTTTCATAAATTGCACGATACGCAATTATAGAGCAAGTAAATAATCAAATATCTTTTGCACATGTAATTTTAGCAAAATGGGAAAATAATATGAATATCATTGAAAAGCGTTTATTAAATACACATGCGCAATCAGGAATGTTAAGGAAGATACCAATAAACATATGGTCATTTCAGGGATTTTATTTGTTGCAAGTCAGTTATATAATTACATATATTCGAAGTCTTGAAGTATCATTAACTTTAGCCTTGCAAGGAATTCCAAATTTAAATACCTTTTCCAGAGAAGAACTAGAATTGATACAAAATCACCTTTCAAAAATATATACTCCAAAGACTTTGATAAATGTTGGAGATAACCGGCCATTTCAAATATTACAACTGAGTAAGCTAAGCATTGTGCACATCAATGATGTATCTTGAAAATTCCGATGCTTCGTAAACTCCCATTCAATCTGAATTATGTACAACATCCATTGAAAATTAAGGAAAATATTATATTAGAACCACCTACTGCATTTTATTTAAGTAATGATGTAAAAGAAGCTTGGACCGACACACCCTGCAAGAAAACTGAAAAATTTTATGTTTGCTTTTCTTCGCAGCGCTGGTACACTGGTATGTATGCTCATTAAAAAATAATTATATGCATTGTCAAAAACGACTATTTCCTTTATAAAAAATTGTGGAGCCAAAATGCTCCAATTTTAGATTCAAAATCATTCCGAACCGTAGTAGAGAATTGTGAAGATAGCGTCAAGAAAATTAACCTAAAAGGTTCTTATATACTGAATAGCGTATGTGACATAATAATTGATGACGAGATATTTTACCTATCAAATAGAAATTTTACAATTAATGAAAATTCTATTTGGTTAAGTGTACTAAATATGACAGGCAATACTACAGTTCAATTGAGCAACTAACATTTTCTAAATTTGGAAGAATTGAAACCAAATGAAACCAATTCCTTATCAAAATCTAAATTTTTATCATACTGGAATAATTATCGGATTCTCCATATTTGGCTTAATCATTGTTATTGGAGTAATTTATCTTATATACAAATGTTGTCTAAAAGACTTGTTCATTAGAAAGGGTTGTGATACTCCTGTAATGGAAATAAATATTTCTGAAACTAAAAGAAACCGAAACGAGGACGTTTCGATCTAAGGGGGGAAGAGTTATGTACTTTGGCTCACTCTATACAATATAATTATTATATTGCATCATCTTGGCGTTATCTTTTGTCATTCTATTACCGTTGTTAGAAAACTTATACTACTACTAATCTCATATATGCAACCTGATACGTCCTCCATGCGTCTTAAGAATTAGCTTATGTGTGTATTCCTGTTACGAGTATACGACGTTATAAAAATCGTTGTACCTTTTGTTTGGTAATCACATAGCTATCAAATATTGTAGTGGTAGTTAGATTCATCAGCGGTAAATAAAAGTTATTTTTAAAAAACCCCCGTTCGCCCCTGGCAAACATAATTCGTGAGAACAGGTCTGCTTATTAAGCATGCTCTTATTGAGCAGCAGTTGTTCGCAGCAGGTTCGCGTGTGTGTTCCAAAAATGGCGCGCTGAGGTGAAGTATAAAAACCATATTTTGGGAAACAATGGGTATGACGATACGATAACGAATATCGTCCTCTTCCTTCTCGTGTTTTTTCTTGATACCAAAAGTTTTTGGACAATTGCAAAAAAAAATGATGACTTTATTCACATCTGTGGAGAAAGTCACTTGGTTTTCTATTTTTGCAACCGAACACTGACAGAGAGCTGGCTATTAAATAGCATATGTGTTCTGAATCTTTGCTTTGAGCAAGATCGAGAAGAGCATGCTCTAAACAAGCATGCTAAACACAAGAAAATATATCAGTTTGTAGAGCGGGCCATTTTCAAGCATGCTATTTTATGAGCATGTGTAGATACACAGATGTATACTAAGTGACATATAAATCCGAACACCCAGTTTAAATGGTTTTATTTTAATAAAATTTTGTATAAGTACTTAATGAAGCATAATAAGTAAATGATAAAAATTTCAAAATGATTGCACTGCTTTAAAGCCCTTTGACATTTAATAATGTGTGGATGCACCCTGATGTGCTACGCATTCTCCAACGCGCCTAGGCATGCTTCTGATCAGGTGGTCAATGTCCTCCTGTGGTATCTCATTCCAGGCAACCACCAAACTCCTCTCGAAGTGCTTCTAGAGTCTGAGGAGGACGTTGCAAATTGAGCAATCTCCTACCCATCATATCCCACACGTGCTCAATTGGGGATAAGTCGGGAGATCTTGGTGGCCATGGTAACAATGTGACATCATTATGTTGAAAGAAGTCTATTGTGACTTTGCCATATGTGCTCGGGCATTATCTTGTTGGAAAGTTGGATCTGCCAGGGTGTCAAGATAGGGTAAAAGATGGGGTTCTAGAACTTCGTGGATATAACGGTGCGCGTTCATGTTACCTCTGATGAAGATTAAAGGTGACCTGGAACCATAAGCTATAGCACCCCAAACCATAACTCCAACAGTGTGATAAACATGTCTTTCAACAAAAAACTGTGGATTTCTCCTTTCACCACGTCGCCTTCTAACCCTGACACGACCATCGTGCATGCCTAAACAAAATCGAGACTCTCACTAAAGACAATACTGTTCTATTCCTGATCCCAGAGTGACCGTTGTCTGCACTACTCAAGGCGATTACGTCGGTGTTCTCGAGTTAAAGGGAGGACCCAGTGTGGCCGGTATGAAAACAAGCCAAAACTTCTCATTCGTCGGTAAACACTTCGCATGCCACAATAGGTCTTCCATGTTCTGCAAACCATTCATTTGCAATGGACCTGGTAGTGGAGAAACGGTCCCTTAAGGCCAATAATCTTAGGCGGCGATCTTCACGGTCTGTTGTTCTACGGCGGCGTCCAGTGCCCCTTGCTCTTTGCGTACGGCCTTCTCGAAGCCATGCCTGACAACACCTAACCACAGTGTCTACACTTCTTTGCACTCTAACTGCAATTGCCCGAAAATAAGGTCCAGCTTCCCGAAGTCCCACTATACGGCCCCTATCAAACTCACTAAGTTGACGAAATCGTACAGGTCTCCGTACTTTAGGCATCGTAAACGATCATAAAGGATGTCAAGAACCAAAATCCGCCAACGTTGATTCTTTACTGCGGCTGAAATATTCATTTTTAGAGCGTTAGTGAATTAAAAAAAAGCAGTATAAAAACCGGAATGTCCAACTGATAACGCTGAAAATTTTTTCACTTGTTATTTACAGTAAGATAAATACATGCACCAACTTTTATTAAAATAAAACCATTTAAACTGGGTGTTCGGATTTATATGTCACTTAGTATACCTTTACGCAATTTTGGCGACAAACGATGCAATATAAGGAGCTTGGCTCCTAATCGATTTGAATTCATTGACTACTGCTGTGTGACTTTTCGTGTACTTAACTCCATTTTTTTCTACTCAGGGTTTTTGGAATAAACTCTAACCATAGTGAAGATTATGTTTATTAATCACTTTACGCAGTAAAAGGTACTTATTTAACGCAACTAGAGTCCCAGTCAGGCTCGATAACATAGTCCCTGACCTGCGGTTTGCAGAAAGGCCGACCCACGTAATGCCATGGGGGCGGTGATGTCAGAAGTAGGGTGATGTATTCATTGGGCAGCAAATGTGCAGCTTGCATCCAGTAGAGGGCTTGTGCAAACAGACGGACTATCCAAGCTAATTCGTTGAGCCGTGGAGTTTTTCGACGCTGTGGCCACAGGAATATGATGCCTTTCTGCTGGTAGCACGAGACGCGGGCGCGGGTCTTTGGGATTGATACCTGAATTATCAAGAGAAGAAGAGCTAGAATATCGCCATTGTTCATTGGTCCTGGTAAGAGCTTAGTAGCAAGAAAGAAAGCAGTTTATATTTTTGCGCCCAGGGCAATGAATGTTTCCTGAATACCCTAGGCATTATCGACTCCAAGGATGCCTCAAACTAAAGGACACCAGGAGGCCACTATAGGTCATACGAAATAAGTAAACAGACCGACTAACTGTACCACGCTCGGTTCTTAAATTTCGTAAGTATAGGGGCTAAAATTGTTGTTCGGATTGTTTTGGCCCAAATTTACCACAATGCCAATGATAAAATAACTTTTTGTATGCTTACCAGTGATACTGAAGAAATGATAAAAAGAAAAAAAAGCATGAGACTTTTTGAATCTACCGCCATTTGAGCTTTACGGCTTTTCATTGAGCAATTTGATGTGGAAGCTGGACAGCTGATAAAAGGCACCTTTATTTCAAATACAATTAAGAGTTTTTTCTGTACCTTTTCGCCAAAGAAACAAACATACGTTACATGCATACTGAATTGCGTTTATTGTAACTAGGATTATTGGCAATATTATCTTAGCATACATATCGTCCAGACTTAGACGGTGTATTAACCAAACCGGAAAACAGTGGTTCATACACATTACATAATGCTGTTGACGGCAAATAAATGGACATATTGACGAATTTTTAAAAACCTTCAATCTTTCCAAAATTATCACTCTCAAGTCAGTATTGATACTGTTATTTTCAACAAAATGCTCAGTAATTGCCGTCATATCATTCTAGATATTGTATCAAATTTTTCATCCATGGTTCGAGCTTGAGTGATTAAAGCCTTCCCTTTGATTGGTCAAATTTGCACCATAGTGGCATATTCTGGTAGTAGGATCAAATGAGAGAAGTAGATGTCTTATGGGGATTCGGTCTCAAAACTTCCAAA